CTTTTGAGACAATACCGAACCGCAACTCTGCGTGCTCTTATTGCAGCAGACTTCCTCACAACTAGTGATCTCGAGGTTCTACAAGCACTGGTATTGTTTCTCTTCTCTAACCCAGGATGTGATCTAGCAACCACCCTGTCCGGCGCCGCCCTCCGACTAGCCGAGAAGATGGGTTTGCATCAAGACACATCTGACCCCAACATATCTTTCTTTGAAAAGGAGATGCGCATTCGTCTATGGTGGCAGCTCTGCGGTCTCGGCGCTCGGTGCCGCATTAGCTCTACCCCAGGAATGAAGAAGCCACCACCCACTTCCGAGATAGGCGACGTCCGCCTCCCACTCAACGTCAACGACGCGGATCTCCACCCGGACATGACTGAGCCTCCTCTGGAACACAACGGTCCCACAGAGATGATGTGTGTCCTGTTGAAAATGGAAGCCTCTAACTGGCGCCGACATTTTCCGACAGCCACCAAGCTCTTTGAAAGTGTGATGCAGGGCTCGATCAGGTCCAAGGAGGTAATCGAACTGGAGTGCAAGGCGGTTGACGAGCTGAACGACATATACCGTCGGAAATACTTTCATAATTCCGATCCACATATCCCACTTCATAGCCTTACTCATGCTATTGCGAAACTCTCAATCGCGCGCTTCAGGTTCAAAATTCGTCATCCTCGAGGGCGGCTCACCGCAGCTGACAACAATGCCTATTTTACACGTGAGGAAAGTGATATCCTATTCGAATCATGCCTGACCTGGGTGCAATCCATGATGGATATCAGGTTACGCAGCAAGTTCCCGTATTATTTATTCACGCACCTGACGACAGACTCTTATATGGATGCCTATATCTACCTCCTGAGCGAGCTGCGGCGACGGTGCTCAGGGGACCGCGTAGCACTTGCTTGGCAACTGGTCGAAGAACTTTTCAATGAACATCCTGAGCTCATTTATGGTGACGACGATTTCTATGCTGCATTTGGGGACTTGGTCTTGGATGCATGGGAACATCACAGTCACGAGCTGAAAAAAAGCCCGGGAGGTCTAGGATTCGTCACCAAGCCACGATTTATTGAACGACTCTATCATGAGAAGACTACTAGAGGTCGACCTCGTTATAGTAATCTGCCTTCTTTCTCGGATTCACGTGAGCTTGGTGGGCTTGAACCGCAAGATGAAAATGATAGCAATTGGCTGTATTGGGAGGAGTTTCTTCGGTTATAGGCAGGAATGTGCGGTGCGGTAAGAAATATTGATCAATAAATTTGAAACTAATGAATAGTCTAACGTCAACAATCTCGTACATCGGAAGGTGTAGGTTCATAGTTCTTTCAGTGCGTCTAATGTACATCTTGGTAACATACGAAAGATGACCTGAAGGAAAACTATGATAAAATGCATTTTCTATTCGACCCCCACTTTTAGCAGGTTATCAAGACCATTCTGAGGTAAACACAAAAAAAGTGGCCGAACTAGCTTCGGTGAAATCAAAATAAATACTTGATCAACACACAATCAAACAGCCCCTTCAGTGAAAGGAGCTCTGCCAATAAGAGCAAACAGAAAACACAGATTTATCGCCAGCAAAACATCGGGCTTGACTCTGCGTGGGACCCCCGAGCCTCTCTATCCTCATACAAGACTTTCCAGTCTGTATAATGCTAACAATAGGCAAAGACTGACGATGGACCGATTGCGGAGTAGTCAAGTTGTCAAACCTCTAACGCGTGATCTCTCTCGATGTTCGAAACTTGGACGGCACAATGTGACTCGGCAACACGAATGGGGCATCCAACTCACTCTTCCCCAGGATGCTCGTAATCAAGAGCAGACTCTAAGCTGTCCAAACATCTATTATAAACGCGGGGGAATTACTCCACTATCTTTGCACGCTTGGCAGCATTCGTCGGCTGCTGTCCACATTCCACCCATTTCCGCCTGCGCCTAGCTTCCTGTGCCGCAGAAATACTAGGACGTTTGCCAAAACAATTATCATTTGCGACCTTCTCGCAATACTTAACGTGGCTTTCAATAAAGTTCCCGACCTGTCCAGGGCGAGGAGTGAGTATGTTGATAGATTCATGTGGGCTATTTGAAACCAGAAGAACGCGACGAGCATGGCTAGCTTTCCAGTTCACCTGCTTGCCAAGGTGTAGAAGGACATGGTAGACAATCCCCTTCTGCGTATACTCCTGACAACATCCATAGAACCTATCGGAAGCGAGAGAATTTTGCTTTAACATTGCTCGAAGCCCTTCCACAAAATCAACTTCATGCTCCAACGGACACTCCGTGTAGGTAAGAAAGATCCATCGGCGATGTATCTTCTTGTTCCAAGGCGCCAATGTTTTAGGAGAGGGCCCGACCGTCACAACAGAGGACGGCTGAGAAACCTCAGCGGATAATTCCACATGGAAGCGATGGAAAGTCATTGTTATGTGAATGAGCAATGTTTTTAGGTGAACAAATGTCAGAGGTTACTCTCACGTATTTATACTCCTCAGGAACCCCTCACATTGCAGGAACCGCGTCCCGATTAGGAAGGTACACCTAGTCTCGCCAAGAATTACGGCGACATTGCCAAGAATTCCCTCTTTGGGATTCTGCTCGTCGCTACCGCCCGTACTTACCGTACGGAAACCCTCTCTTTTCCCCCTAAAGGGGGATGCCTCCTATCGGAGGGGGCCCCTTCATCCGATCGGTGGATCCTCTCGGTTCTGTAATTACTCCAAAAGGAGTAATTTGCTGAGTCTCAAGTCTCAGCAACAGAAGGCAAAGTTCTACACCTCGATCAACACATGATCGAACATCACCTTGGGCCTGCATCACGCAGAATCTAATCCCAGGGGAACATAGTCAAGGGCTACGTGGCGGAGATACTTTGTATTAAATAATGTTAACGTCTATTGAGGGATAGAGGGGGGCCCCAGGCTCTGCCTGGGGGGGCGAAGCCCTTGAGTGTGTTGTATTTGGATATGATTCTGCGTGTTGCAGCTTGTCTGACTTGGTGAGTATGACCCAAGGTGGTGTTCGATCAGTGATTGATCGAGGTTAGTGACGGTCGCAGGCAGAGACTATTTAAGATGCAGCCAGAATAAATCCCGCTTTTTTTCTTACAATACCAGCACAAAACATATTACTAAGTGTTTAGCTATCTTTTTCACCAATGGTGAGGCCCCCTTGGGTATACCGCTGAATTTTCCTGTTCTGTAATGTTATAGTCGTATTGTGGAGTGCGGGGCTAGCAGACAGCTCACTATCATCAACTATCTATACACAAATTAGTACTGCCCCTGATATATATACAACAGATACAAAGTTTGCAAGCAACTAGAAACATGAGTGGACTATTGCATTCTATGTAAACAATTTGATGCTCAGTCTCGTATTGCTCTGGCTATGGCCTGGCATTACCTGTAGTATAAATCAGTCACATTATCCCTGGGGTCTGCTACTGCCTGGGCATTGATGCACAAGGATACTTCCTTGTAGAGGTGTACCAGAGAGCCCGCCATGCATACATACTTTGTTCATCGATAAACTAAAGTGTTAATGTGTTCTACGTCGGCGCTCACATCCACAACACCAGCCATGAACGCACTACATACTTAGAAGAAAAACAAAGACGACCTCAAAAGCCCCCCTCCCCATCAGGGAAAAGGAAGAATAAAAATAGAAGAAAGTTACGTAAGTTGAAGATAATCAGAAATGAAGTGGTAGTATAGAACGCTGACAGTATAAGATTCGTATCTGTCAATGTAGGATCTCTGGACCGATTGCACCTTTTATGCCAACATTATGCATCATTCCAATCAGGAAATCATGGTAATCATGATTATCCGAAGTGGAAAATCTTCACATTATTTACATACACAATATGTCTCTCAACTTTGATTGAAAAAGAAAAAGGGAAAAAAACATGACAGTAGTATTAAGGTGAATGCAGAATGCAATAGGCCAAACACGCCGGGTGTCACCGGATATTCAGATGTGACGTCATATGAATATAAAGAGGTCAGCACAGCTGACAGACCAACTCTGTTCCTCCATCTCACACACCCATTGCACCATGGATCCGGCAAACGAATATTGCGGGCTTGAAGACTATGGCCTGGTGGGGGACATGCACACCTGTGCGCTGGTCAGCAAGAATGGCAGCGTCGACTCCATGTGCTGGCCCGTGTTCGATTCCCCTTCCATCTTCTGCCGCATTCTCGACAAGGAGAAAGGAGGCCATTTTTCGATAACCCCAGATCGCAGATTGAAGAATCCTCTCAGTAAGCAGCGCTATCGTCCGTATACCAATATGCTGGAGACACGCTGGATCCATGAGGAGGGTGTGATGAACATCTTGGATTACTTTCCGATCGCAAAACCCAAGCCCCATGTGGTCGAGAAAGGCCTTCCCCAGTGGTGTCGATGCTACCAGAACAAAGGCTCTGCACAATATCAGGCATGTCGTTCCGGGATGGTACGGAAAGCAGAGTGCGTGCGTGGTGAAATGGAGATAGAAATTGAGCTCTTCCCGGCATTCAACTACGCTCGCGATTCACATGTAGCCCAACAGTCTTCGGCTTCGGATGACGCTATCCAAGTTTACCACTTTCAGGCTGAGAGTCAGAATCTGGTTGTCAGCGTTCTGGGAGACAGGGGTGATATTTCCGGGGATGACTCCGATCTTAGCATTGAATTTGAACTGTCCGATCGACCCGGCCATTTAGGCCCCGGTCTGGTTGGGAAGGTTACCTTGAAAGAAGGACAGTCTATTACTATGCTTCTTCACGACCAGGAATCCATAACATGCAATGTGGAGGATCTAGCGCCCTATCTACAGCAGATTGAGCGAACAACAGGCGATTTCTGGTCAGACTGGACCAGCAAGTGCACCTTTCGAGGCCACTACCGTGAGCAAGTAGAACGCAGCCTACTTGTTCTTAAGCTGCTAACCTACAAGCCAACTGGAGCGATCGTGGCAGCCCCCACGTTCTCCCTGCCCGAGCATATCGGCGGAAGTCGCAACTGGGACTATCGCTATTCATGGGTGCGAGATGCAGCATTCACCGTGTATGTGTTCTTGAAGAACGGCTATCCCGAAGAAGCCGAATCGTACATCAACTTCATCTTCGAACGCATCTTCCCACCCATGGATAAGAATCCAAAGCCAGGGGAGCCCTTCCTGCCCATCATGATTACCATTCATGGCGAGCGCGAGATCCCCGAAATGGAACTCGAACATCTTGAGGGGTACCGAGGAAGCCGACCAGTTCGTATCGGCAATGGTGCAGCGACTCATATTCAGCTCGACATTTACGGAGAACTAATGGACAGCATATACCTCTACAACAAACATGCCGCCGACATATCATACGACCAATGGCGAGCTATTCGTCGCATGATCGACTTCGTCATCCAGATCCGTCATCAACCCGACCAGTCCATCTGGGAAGTGCGCGGGCCTCCGCAAAACTTTGTCTACTCTAAAATCATGCTTTGGGTGGCTTTGGATCGTGGCTTACGGCTGGCGGAGAAGAGATCCAATCTGCCATGTCCGGACCGGGCACGATGGATGCACGAACGCGATGCACTGTACGATGAAATCATGACCAAGGGATATAACTCCGAGAAGGGATTTTTCTGCATGAGCTATGAAAATCAGGATGCTATGGACGCTGCAGTGCTTATCGCGCCGTTGGTATTTTTCGTAGCGCCGAATGATCCCCGCTTGTTGAGCACCATCCAGAAGATCACCGAGGTTCCGGCAAAAGGAGGTCTGAGTGTGGCTAATATGGTGTCACGTTATGATACTGGGAAAGTCGACGACGGTAAGCTATCCCCTGCCTACCTTAATGACGACACACTCTAAACGCATTATCAGGTGTTGGCGGCAACGAAGGCGCTTTCCTGATGGTTACATTCTGGCTCGTCGAAGCCATGATGCGTGTAAGTTCTAACACTCAGCCTCCTTGTTACCCTATTCTCGACAGCTAACAGATATTGTCAGGCCGCCCGATCCAAAGCGTATCTTCCTCACGACCCATTCTTCCAGCAACTGCGCAAGACAGCGACATCGCAGTTCGACAGCATTCTCTCTTTTGCAAATCATCTGGGGATGTTCTCCGAGGAGGTGGCGACGTCCGGCGAGCAGATCGGCAACATGCCGCAGGCATTCAGTCACCTTGCGTGTGTGAGTGCGGCGATGAATCTGGGCGGAGGGGGCGACAGATAATTCTACATTGTCATGATAACAGCTTAAAGCAATACATGTTTAATGTCATTGTAAAGAGGTGTGTAAAGATTTGGGCGTCTGCTTTTCGATAATTTCATATGAATATGACACAAACTCGCATCAAGTACCTTTATTCCCACAGAAAATCCCTTGAAACCTGCGAGTACCATATTGCACTTGACGTGGAGAAAAGAATCCTACAAATATGCTATAATGAAGATATCTCCATTTTTAACAAGTGGCTGTCAATATCAGGTTTTACGTACCGCCAATCATTTACTATAAGTCAGCTAGTTGTTGTTTGAAGTACATGCGGGATTCATAGTCATATATATTTTTCAAAGTAACTATGAAAACGGCCCACATCCCACTCTCATCGAAACTCTCTGGCAATAGTATTTATCATTACACCGCTCGGCTACCGCATGAGGAGAACCCAAATAAATTGAAGAAAATATGAGGGAACCAAAAAAGGGAAAAAAAAAAGGAGAATCCAAACATATCCGGAAGGATACATAAGAAAAACAAAAAAGAAAGCCCAACGCGGGGCTCGAACCCGCAGCCTTGAGATTAAGAGTCTCACGCTCTACCGATTGAGCTAGCCGGGCTAGTTCGGTGAAAGCTACAATAGAATAATGTTACTAGTAGAATGACTAGCCAATGAAGTCTCCAGCACGGTCTGCATCACGTGCTTTTATCCCCTACAGACAGATGCATTAGTTAGTGTTACCTTTAGAGCCATTCCATATGCGAGGTCTTGCATTAGTGGCACATTTTAGAGCGATTCAATATGCAAGGTCTTGCATTAGTGTCACTTTTAGAGCCGTCCTCTGAGGCCGTGCATCAGTGCTATGTTTTAGAGCAATTTCATATGCGAGGTCTTGCATTAGCGTTCACTTTAGAGCCATTCTGTATGCATGGGCCTGCATAGATACTATTTATAGAGCTATACCCCGAGATTATCAGTTACTAACGCAGGTCTGCGCTACCATATGCACCACACTGCATTGGCTTAACTTATAGAGCTGTTAAGAGATTGTGGATTAGAATATCACCCTGCCATGGAGCCATGCTGCCTTCCGAGCCATCCTAAACAACGCGGTTCACTTATGCTTCCTTCTCACCCTGCGCCTGTACCGTCCCACAAGAGCAGGGGTGTATCGACCAACCAGGTTTACACCACAGGACTCATTCAAGTTCGCATATCAGAATCTATTCCTCGTGCTACTCTTTCTGTTTCTTACTATGTCATAAGGGTTCGTTTGTTAAGCCTGCCAAAGTCCGTGATCGGCAATAAGCAGTGTTCGGTCTTCAAATAAAGTATATTAGGGGGGGGAGAAACAGATGCAAGTCAGTTTCAACAACATCCTATGTTTTTGATGGGCGCTGATTCTCCTTCTTAGTGGGTTGGTCGGGTGGCGGCATGCCTGGCTTCTGGTCTTGCTCAGGCTTACTGTACGGTGTGCGCCATATATTAAACGCCTCCACGTACGGGCTCTCCTCATCGATCGGAAACGATCTGCTACTCTTTGGGCCGGAGAATCCAAGACAATCGAGGTCAACAAGATAAAGCTTGTTTGTCTGAGCCTCGTAATTCAGATACCCAGCATGTTGCTGGACCAGCTTATAGCCATTCTTGCGCATAGTCCTGCGATGAGAGCAGCAGGGGTTAGTTAGTAAAGGAATAGGCAGTCGCTTTCTAAAACAATGAAACCGCTGTCTTACTCCAAGATATGTGCGAGCTGGGTTCGGATACTTTCAAGCTGTCGGTCGGTAAGCTCATCTTGGATAACATCCACATTTTCGCCCGGGGGTATCTGCATAACCAGAAAGTCGATATAACCATCAGGAAAAGGCATCCACTCCTCTTGGAATTGGGTTTCGTGGTGATAGTATTTTGGGCCTAGTCCACGCTCACCTAGGAGTGCTGTAAGTTGAACTTCGTGGCAGTAATGTTCCTCAGCCAACTCCTCAGCAGACTCAGCCTCTGCGGAATCAACCAAATCAAAGTCTTCTGGGTCCAGTTGGTAACAGATTTTGAGAAGAGACTGTAGATTGTTTTCCATGTTTATGACCCTTGTTAGGACTCGGCGTTGACCCAGTTCGAAGTCTAGGAACTCAGTGAGTTGCTCCAAAACCATTAGCTTCTTCCCGTCGATATCGAAGACTCGTCCTGTGAAGCTGAAGTCCCACATTTCTGCGCTCTTGTCTGGTAAATCCTTCGTTGAACAATAGTATGTGAGTTCAGAGATGTGTGATTTTCTTTGGATTTTCCTTGGAGGTAGTTTTGGAGGTAGTAGAGGTAAATATGAGTCACCGCCCGTATTCATTCACTATGACGCCCCAGCGAGTCATCACAAGAACGTCATTTCCTGGTACTTAGTTTCTTTTATAATGATGTTGAATACCGAAATATTCACCCTGCAGCTGCAGTTCCTGCCATGCTATGATGAATGCAATGCTGATGCCAATACCAACGGCATCTGCACTCATCATTCGGGGCTAATACATCAGAAGTACATATGAAGCAAAGGATTCCGTCTGAAGCGCGAGAATTGACCTGATGGGGATTACCAGAAGACTTGATACAGTGAGCGTAGTACTATCTAGATTTCGACCATGAAAATTGCCGCTTCTACTGCATAGGTGTCGACCGGGTCATATGAAAATCAAAATAAACTCTACCTTTGCTTATAAGCATTTAGCATCTTATGGGATAAGTATTCAGCTTCTAAGAGTCTCTAGGAGTCTCACTGTATAACCGGATATCAGCTGAGGTAGTGTGAAGAAGATATATCTACCGCGAGGTACGAGCATATAATTGCTGTCGCTAACTTTTAAGTCTAATCTACTGCGAGTAGGCCGTTTTCTAAGGCCATACTTCAGTGTTTTTCTAAAGGCATTAATTCAGTCGGCCATGTATATGCATGGGCCTGCATAAAAGCTATAAATAGAGCCATACCTTAGCAATACGGTCATAGTCTGCTATATGCACGGCAATGCATCAGCTTGATATATAGAAGTTTTGAGACCGTGCATTAGTATAGCAAATTTCCGATTGAACCACTCTGCATTCCCAAACCACCCTAACCAACGCGGTTCTCACCCTGCGCATGTACCCTACCGGAAGAGAAGGAGTGTATCGACGAAATGTCTGATCAGATGTATTAGCAAACGCTACAGATCTTTAGAGCGCCATAGCGTACCAACTTCCGCCCATATTGGACACCGTAGTAGCTTCCTTTGTCGTCTGAAGCTCTGATTGCCGTGGCAAACAGATATTATCGCAGAGAAACACTGTGAACAGATGATTGCGCCGTTGCGCTTATCGGTGGAGACATTAGGAAGTGGGTATCATCATGATGCTTGACGAACCAGGTATAATCGTAATTGCAAAAAAGCCGTAACCAGAGTAGTGGTCGTCCATGTATCTCGCCAGTTGACCTATATCAATAGAAGCAGTACAGTTAGCTTTTGGGGCAATTCCTGAAAAGACATATCACAACTCGCCTAGCTTGTCGGACAAAAACTCTTGCCATGTCTGGCGTTTCTTTGGCGCGAATGCCGAAGGTGTCATAGCATGCATCTTGCTATTTACCAGTACAATGTCTGGTATTAGCTTTCCTTTTGCCTTCTTGATCTTCAGCACTCGTGCTTTCACTTCTTTTCTTTAGACCAAACTTGAAAAATCAGCAGGGCCGTAATCACCCAACCGGGGTGCAGGACATTATCAACGAAGCGACCCTGCACCCCCAATTCTTTAGCTACGGCGAATATCTCGTGATCTATGAGAAATCTAATGCCTCGTAGCTACCGCAGTAGGGCTATATAACAGCCTTTATCTCCTTTGTGAAGTCTGGCCAGTATCGAAAGGCAGTGGGGCTCAGTGTAAACTTAGAGCTTCCCAGCTTTAAATCCTGATCAAGTGTGGCTTATGAAACTAGAGCTGTTGACGATGCCCGTTCGGAAGCTTTCCTTCAAGTTGTATAAAATGGAGATATTCTCGGCGGTAGTTCAGCTTCCGAATTAAAGACATATATTGTAGTAATCTGACAGTTGACCAAAATAAAAAGGAAATCAACTTTCAAACGCAGAAATATATACCTTTCTGCTTGTCCAATATGATGAATAGAGGGGTTTCACTTTCAGCATCTTCACCTGAAGCTAGTATATTCACGGCTACTTGGAACAGAATCATTCAAGGTATTTTAGGCAATTTTCTCCTTCACAGTTTCTCAACGCAGTGCATAAAAAACTACATTTAGCGTCATGTCATGAGACATAATATTAGTAAAACAGTCCCGAGCTGCCATATGCAGGGCACTGCATTACCTTGACTCGTAGGCTCTTGAGACCGTGCATTAGTGCCATATTTTAGAGCCATTCTATATGCATGGGCCTACATTTGACAGCTGCCATCTGCACGGAGCTGCCTTAGTGTGCCTTTTAGAACCATTCTTCATGCACGGCCCGAATGAGCTGCTCTAAACATGTGGGCCTGCCATGTTGAACCAATGAGGGTTGCTAGTTGACAGAGATTAATGTATCCACTATCCACCACCTGCACGGGCCATGTTAAAGCCGCTAATGCACAAGCTTGCAGGTTGATGGCTCTAAATATGCGGATACATTGGATATCCAATCATGCTATGAAATGGATTGTATGTGGGGCTCATCTTCAAGAATAAAGGGAAGATGGAACTAATGCACAGTTATGCAGCAAACATACAGTATCTAGCCTACAGATTACATGAGTTCCGATATTATGCAGGTCCTGGCTAGTTATAAATTAGCTTAAAGCTAGTAAGTAAATCTGTACACAATAGTAAGTATTTCAGCCGTGGAATATAGCCAAGACATATAGGTAACCACAATAATTCAAATACGAGCCATCGGCGCTCAATAGTGCAAACCTTCCACGGTGTGCTTTTTGGCAGACTTGTAATCTGCAGGCGAAAACTATGAAACCTGACATGGTTATTCAAGGATGGCCTCGTATCTCGTACTTTTATGCGCAGGCCATTGAAGGCGTAAAGACACTAGTCCCTAGTTACAGAAGACATGGCCCAAAATGTCTGGCGTATTCCAGATGCAGTACTTTGAGGCGGATACAATATACAAATTTTAGATTCATCATTCCCGCTGATCGCCGGGACAAGCGACAAAAATGGATTGGCCGGAAGGATGGCGGAGGCGCATGTGGCGAATATCACGGAAACCACCGAAGATTGTAAGGGTCTTGTTTGAATTGGAAAACACTGAGGGGTTCAGTCGATATTGAGGATGACTTCGATGATTTACAGAATGATGATGATGATAATGATGACGGTAGTGAAAAGAGTAGTGTACTAGTAGATTGCCACCGTGAATGGGAGCGAGAGAATGCATGTTCCCGGGACATCTGCAGCGCGGCATCGGAAGGTCTCACTCGTTTGTTGTGACAGGTCAGGTGATAACCTGCTTGTCAGCATGCTCATCTAGACCAACTTTACCTCCCCAACCCCTCGTATACTTCCAACAGTGCCGCAGTGCCTCTGCCCTCGTCAAGCATTTATAGGACCTCTTCATCACCTTCCTATCGTCTTCCGGTTCTGACGGCGGTTGATCAATCTTCACACACTGTCATAGCATCCATTTTACATCCGCCTACCCTCAGGTACCTCCTCTTCCCTGAACGAAGACAATCCCCCCCCCAAATAACAAGCACCTCCTGTGACTGTGACTTATCTTGAGAATCTGTGAACAATGGGTACCCTCATGGTGGTCATAAACCCAATCATGGCCGCAGGCGGCTACGATAATGATCGCAGAGTCGGTACAGGACGTGTTCTTCCTACCAAGTTCAATCCTCCCTATCCTGACGACACACCGCAATCCCTTTTTCCACCTGGTGTCAGGGTCGACAGCGTTCCACAGGTTCATCGCTTCATTCGCCGAAACAATCCTCGCCAGCTCCTCCTTTACACCAAGGGTACCTGTTTGAATAACGGCGAAGCTCAGCCCAGAGGAGGCTGTGGTGTTGTCTACAGATCTGCTGTGGACCTTCCTGAAGGCAAAATGAATCACTTCAAGATTCCCCTCGAGATCAAAGGGCCCAGCGGCCGGAAGAATCCCCACACCAGTGATCGAGCTGAATTACGGGCCGTAATTGCAGCCTGCCGCTTCCGCTGCTGGACGGGGGAAGGGTTCAACAAACTGGTGATCGCGACTGATTCCGAATATGTGGTGGAAGGGGCGACATGTTGGGTCCAGGGATGGATTCAGAGGGGCTGGAAGACGCGAACAGGGAACCCTGTTAATAACCGGGACCTGTGGGAGTGTCTGCTGGGTGAGCTGGAGCGGTGGTATGATCATGGTATGGAGATCCAGTTCTGGCAGATTCCCAGAGAATGCAATACCGATGCAGCTCGCCTTGCCGAACAGGCCGCGTTGGAGACCCCAGCCAGAATGTTTGGCGATGTTTCCGGATACATGGTTTAGGATCTGAATGTGTTTACCATGGGTCTGCCAACGGGTCGAAGGTTCTCAGTGTTCTTGTATGTTGATTTCATGGAAGGCCGATATAAGACTGACCGGGTATATGGTACGGCCGTTGTTGCTGGAACAAAAATTCTGTCTAAAGCTTTTGCCAAATGCGTATATAGGATTCCGAGTTATAAGAGTGTTCATAGTATGGGCCTCGTGGCTATAGCAATCCCTCTCGTTTTTGATAATTAGACAGACTGTCCTTTGTGCTTGCAGTATCAGCACCATGAGACAATTGGAAGTATTCATCGCGTTAAGGGTGGTCACTGCTAATCCACAGATCACATAAGTGTACTAAAAATAGCCACTCAGAGCCAGAACGATCAGTTCACGTGATTTCGGAAATTAAGCGTTTCTGGTGGCTATTCAAAAAGGATGCTAGCGTGTAACAAGGTACACACTCCCAGCCGCTCCTGATCGGCTGGGAGACGAATCCCACCACGACACGTAACACAACCTCCTCCTTCATCGCCTCGCAAAGCGCACTATACTGCTGATACAGCAGCTTCATCTGGTCAACTACCAACATGTCATTCAGAAGGGCAACGGCATACTCCATCACAGCTTGGATCTGTGGACGCAGGGGACAGAGTTCTTATTAGCACCTAGGTTGCTGGGATGGCACTTCACTTTGACTGCTGGAGTGTCGAAAAACTTGTACTGGACTCAACCTTAGCGCTAAAATCTAGTCTTGGGCTTCGGAGTGGAGTAGGGAGTATCCTGGTACGGACCAGATGTGCTGGACATCCTTAGACTTTCCCTTTCTCATTTTGTGCAAGCTTAAGATGAAACGGGAAGAAAAATGGAAAAGGGGTAAATAATAGTAATAATAATGATGATAAAATAATAAATATTACTTAAAATTAAGAATAAGAAATAACTGGGTCGCAGATCATATTCCACCGCACGGGAAGGACCGGGGCTATAAAAGACCCTCCCGAGCGGTCCCGAAAGTGGCCCGTGCCGAAGAATTTGACCATCGCGGACAGTTAACGGTTTCCGTCTCGACCCATACTTGGTGAACCATGGATCAATGCTACTTTCAGTTTCAGGGAGATGCCCGAGAAAGTGGGTCGATTGGGTACCCAGCGGTGAAAAGTTATTTACAGATGTTTGGGTTTAGGGCTTATTTACACTACGATTCCAGACCTCGTAAGGCATCAAACCATCGGGATTTGTTCGGATTCAGCATTCTTGGCGCCAGTTATGAGTCATCTCTATAGTAGGGACTACGTTTTATCTACCATAAGGTTTGGACCGGAAGTAGTAAGAGAAAGTAGATTCCATTCCGAGATTATTTCACAGGTAAAGAATGGTATTAGAGCGCGGAGGTGGTATATTCTATTCTAAGAAGGAAATCGATGGATATAAGACAAGGCGCTTGTGACATGAAAGAAACTCGTGTGGTATCGTGAACATCCCTCGGTGTGGTTGTGGAAATTTCGGTGGCTTCTGGAGAGACTGTATGTAGAGGGAGATCGTGTGTGGTGGGAGGATGTTCGCTATGTATCCATATGCCTAGCATACGGTAGCGTGGATGAGGTCAGAACCCATAGGGCTGTTTTAGAGAATACGTTAGCGGCCGACGCGATCAGCTGCGGAAAGTCCACACCTACATCTAGCGGCCCTGTCCAGCATAACGTCCAGGCTGAAAGTTGTATTCATCATCCCAGTGCTCCTTTGCAGCTAGGCCAGCTTTCCATAGCTCCAGGTGTTTGCGAAAGCGCGATTTGAAGTTGTTTGGAGAGGATGGATGATGTACGGCATCCTGGATGTTGAGACTAACTGATGATGGAGAATCCATGTTGAGCGGCTGTGTGATACACCACGAAAAAAGATGGGAAAACTGGGAGAAGATGATGTTCTGATTGTACACCCTGAATTGACCAGACTGGCCTATTCTTATATGTTTATCACACCGACAGACAGAAAAAATTTTCTTGTTTTCTTTTTCCTTTTTTTTTTTTCTCTCAAGGATAGCGTAAGCCTTGTCGGTTTTCTCTCGGCGCGGGTGTTTCTCGGAAACTCGGAGATGGTTCGGTTTTACGATCTTCGCAAATCTTTCCCGAGATTTCCCGCACCAGTCACAGAGCACCGTTCCTGGCAACTCTCATCCTTGGTCAACACAAGGGATTCCCTGGATGAGCTAACAGTTTTCATCATCCCTGTTGCTATTTTCTTCCGAGTTGGGACTTGAAATGTGATGCGATTTGATTTCTGCTATCTAGACAAAGTCGGGTGATGTGCGTTGCCCGATCCCGGTACTCTTAGGATAGTGGCACCACACCGGTTTACGGCCACTTATACTAAAGTCATCTCTCATACAATCCCGAGAATACGAGATCCCATATCTTTGCCCAGTAAAAATCTGACTATCTGGGCCCACAATATGTACCAGGGATCGTTCAGATGTTGTAGTCAGTTTCAATCACGTGCTACGGACCTTATCCGGTTCACATGATTATTTGCTAAGGCTGAGCATTGGAAAATTGACGCATGACCCTGCTTACTACAAAGGCAAGGTGTACTGATGACCACAGATCACTCAAAAGCTACACTGTTTGATTGATGCGACTCATTGTATTCTTACCTCGCCTGATTGAGATTTCAAAAGGTTTATGGTAGCATTCAATTATACTGTATCAGCATTAAGTATACTAGGTAAGTTTAGTCTATAAGCCCCAAACGTGAATAATTCAAGGTGACACGATGGCAGTCAGAAAACTTGAAGAAAGAAAATAGAGGTAGAAGCTGGCAATTGCGTAGATGTCGAGTGTAGCAGGGAATATAGTGATAATCATCGGCGGAAACAATGACTTTTAGTTCTTCACGTCCGCCCTCTGGGCATCTCGTTCCCTCTCCTTTCTTCTCCATCCAGCGGCAAATCTCCACTGAATCAAAGGCCCTACCAGTGCAAGTAGCTGTACAGCGACGCAAATGGTGAAGGCCACGCCAACCCCAACGCTATTGATAAGAGGCATGATAAAGCTGGTACCTCCCGCAGCAAAGAGACATCGTGCAAGGTTTAGACTGGCACTAGCTGCAGCGCTCCTATCAGGGAATATATCCACAAGATATGTCATGATGAGCGACTGTGTGGAGACAGCAGTCCAGCCCGTGATGAAGGTCGAGACGATAGGTACAGCGATGTGCACTTTGCGGGCGTAATTAATCGTCCAACCAAACAAAATGATAGAAAGGCACTGAAGGATGGAAAAGATGGGCACGAGTCGAAGACGTGCCTTTTCGAGGGGAAAGTTCTCTTCTCGTGTAGCCGCAGTGGTTTCCTCCCCCTGCTCGGCATCGAGCGAAGCCTCATACCTAGATTTCACACGACGATAGTCGGCATCAAGAATTTTGCCGGTCACCAGAGTTCCGATCATGGACCCTACACCGTTGGCGATGAACGTCAAACCGATTTGAATCTCTGACAAACCATAGCGGCTTTTGAAAAGGGAGGACATCGCTGTGATGCTCATCTGCCAAACAGCGTAATACACCGCCAGAAAAATTATAATAGGTGCCGCGTGGTTGCTGATGAGTATCCGAAGCGGTCCCAAAACATCAATCTTTTTCTTTGCTGCGCGCTGCGATTGGCCATCCGGGACCTGCTCCCACTCGACCTTGGTCGTTTTCTGATGTAATTCCAGCGGAAAATTCACCAATGGGTTGGAAGACTTCAGAGACCCGTTGCCAACAATCGATCGTAGAGTCTCTGGCAGAAAGACGATGAGAAAGCAGAGGAAAGCGCCGCTGTAAATAGTCAGGAACCAGAAGATCGCCTTCCATCCCAAAGATCCAGCAATTCCACCTCCGATGACTGGTCCAACGGCAACGGGGACGAGCAAGCCTGCTTGGAAGATTCCCATGTAGCCACCGCGCTCGGCCCGAGTGGTAATATCGCTGATGACGCCGGATCCAATTGCGATTGTACTAGCGCTGCCGGTGCTTTGAAGACATCGGAGAATAATGAGCGTCGCATAGTTTTTCGACTCGGCAAGTCCGATACAGGCGCCTAGGAAGACAACAAATGTGCACATATATGCTGTCCGGCGACCTTTCACGTCGGATACTGGGCCCCAGAGACTGGGGGCGAGACCCTGGAAGATGAGATAGGATGTAACAGTTAAGTTAAGAAGTTCGATGGAGACATTGAGGTCATTGGCGATTGTTGGTAAAGCTGGGAAATAAATGTTGGATGCGAAACCGGAGACTATTTAGATGTTAGTGGGCTACCGAGAGGTAAATATTAAGACAACGTACATGTTGCTGCAGTAGATACAATAATGATGATTAACCACTTCTGTCGCTTATCGAAGATGCTGTAGGGTGGTTCGGGGGTCGCCACTCCAGTCGAGGTGTTCGATTGAACGGGTGTCGCACTATCTTCTGATGGCATAATGTGTTTTATTCGTCTGGCTGGTAAAGGTTTCGTTGGCAATAGACTGGATACAAAGGGCAGCCCTCCCTATATACAACGTCACCGTGACAATCCCGTGATCATCCCGAAACATTTTTGCGGAGTTCGGACTTGAAGCCGGACTTCAGATCCTCAGCCCCGTTCCGTCAAAGTACAGTTTAGCCCTTTCATTAACATGCTTCCTATAAATAGTGCAACTTAGCAATTCGAATCAAAATCGATTTGAATCCATTTGATCTATCAGACCACCACAAACATGGCTACTAACGGCTCTATCAATTTTGGCAAAAACTATGCCGTTCTAAACCTAGACTGGATTACGGTGCTTATCGACGCCGTCGAGGACACCCCTGAAGGCCAAGCATTGATCGCAAACTACACCAAGTGGAACGATGCCGTTCATGCGAGTTCATCACGTCCTCTAACCGTTTTCTCTACACTTTCCTTTTATCCCGGCCAGCCTGAAGTCCAATCCGGTAGTCCATTTGCCAACCTCATCGCCCCCTTCGGAGAGTTCAGACACGGTTCCCCCGAAACCCAAATCCACAAGGCGTTCAACGTGGACAGTCAAGATAATGTTCTCCCAAAGACAAGGTGGTCCGCAACCACGGGAAGTGTGCTGGAGCAGATCTTGCAGGCACATGGCGTCAAGACGGTTGTCATTGTATGTAAAGCGTGTCCCAACTAAGTAATGATGTGCTGACCATATGAATAGTCTGGGGTGACCCTTTCCGGCGTGGTGATGGCTACGATTTATCGGCTATTTGATTTGGACTATAACGTCTATGTTATCAGGGAAAATGTCTTAGAGTTACCAATTGAGCAGCATTCGGCATTCGCGAGTGTAATGCTCGATATGTTGCTGCCGAAGATGGGCATCAAAGTCATCTCCGTGGATGAGGCAATCAATGCTGTAAATTCTTCTTAGTGTGAGGATATGTTAGATCGTGTTCAATCGGACTTCCTACTTAGTTGTACTTTTCTGGAGCTTATGCCCTGTTCGTAATCCACACTGCAATTCAAAATCATCTAACAGACCGAAGCGATCAAGTACAGTTGTAGAAAGGAATTAAATGCCTCCCAAGAAAATAAAAAGCTCATGGCTTGAGTCCTGAAAAGATGATGTTACGAGGAATCGGTATCTGTGGGGTATTATGCAGCCAGAGATAAGTGGCACCGACAATGCTTAGTCAGTTTTATGTATATAGTTAACGTAATCAACGGTCGAACGGGCCACACGGTCAGGCGGGCCATCCTGAAATCCCATATAAAAGATGTCTTTTTGATTCTATTATATATCAACCAGTACTACTTCTATGAAGCTCTAACTTTGTAGATAGTTTATATATATAAGAATAAGTATTCCATGAATTTTTCAGATTTTTAGAATTTTTACTTTGATAATGAAACCAGATTCTTATATAATACATATAAATACAGATATTGTAATATGATAAGTCCATAAGTAAAAGTATATTCATTTTTAGAAGGTATATAGATATTATTTATATTATTTAAAATCTATATAGAAGAAATCTAATTCTTCTAGACCTGGATGGTAGAGATATATTATGTTTAAAAAGATATCTTTTGTATAGTATTACCAGATGGCCCGCCTGACCGTGTGGCCCGTCCGACCGTTGATTACGTTAGCTAGTTACATTCGCGCTAGTGCGGAGTATTGTTATCACGCACAATTCAGTCTTATTCATCAACCCCTACATAGGACCACATCCGGAAGCAGAATTGAAGTCCGGACCCACTTCTCAGCTCCGACGCCTCCCGTGACTTCCGATCGTGAATGAGGTTGAACGGAATACTCTATCAGCCAACATCACAAAGAGAACGGTTTCAGGATGAAAAGGGATCGCGACTAACGACTCCACAACAAGTACTAGCTTGGATAACGCTGAAGCATTGATACAGGTGATGAAACCCTCAAGATACTCCACCTCCAGGCAAAAGGCCTGTCAGCAATGTGCTAGTGCGAAAGCTCGGTGTGACCGCAGATCTGGAGGCAGGGAACCATGCTCAAGATGTACGCAGCGTGGCATCTCATGCTCATATGCTCAGGAAGATGCCCTTGAACGGAATCAAACAAGTCCTGTAGCACCGCCCAGTCCATTCTCGGTGTCGGGTTCCTCGCTTACCGGGTTGGAAAGTGGCGTTCTGGCCATGAGTAACATCTCAACTTCAACATTACCATCCTCTCTGGGAACTGGGGTGTTTGCTAACACCCAGAACGAGCTATCTGGGCTAGACGATGTCCTCGACTTCTCCTCTCTGGATTTGGTTTGCCCTATAAACGCCGATGATATTCAGAACCGTTGGATTCAGGCATACATTCCGATCCCTGGTCAAACAATCAAAACCTACCCTGACGGTGTCAGATCATACATATATTTGACCCTTAGGTCATACTCTGCGATGGCTGTTAGTGGCCGGGGGACCCTGCCCTTCATCCATCCCAAGCAGATGATCGCGCAGTCAGCCGGGTCACCTCTCACTACCTGCCTGAGCTTGGTGCGAGTATGCTCGAACCAGCTTCCCGGCAGTGGCCAGGCAGCAATTAGTGTTCTACGTCGAGAAATACAGATTTTGGACCAGGATCGGGCGAAATACAGCAGTGACGGCCTGTTTGTGGCCTTCCAGTCCTATCTAATATACTCCATGGTTTTGTTCTTTGTACTGGGACAATCATGCGATGACGATTTCCGTGCTATCATGACGAGCCTCCAAGAGCTAGCCTGCGCTTCATCTCGTCAAGGGTTGATATGTGCGGCTGACCAACGACGAGCGCGGCCGAAATGGGAAGAATGGATTGTAGCTGAAGCTAAACGTCGAACTCTTTACATTATGTATTTGTTCGATAGTATTCTCTCCAGCCAAGAGGGGCTTCCTACATTCCTTGGCACTGAATTGCGGGGCTTGCCCGCTCCGGCCAATAAACTACTGTGGCAGGCAGCAACGCGGTATGAGTGGGAGAGGGAATATAACGTGCATATGGTGGACTGGATGGAAGGATGTCTAACGATCGACGAGTTATGGCCTACACCTGATGATATAGGGGAAGCTGGGGTTGCAAGGCGACGTGCAAGGGTGGATCAGTGGCTGCAGAACCTTGATGAATATGGGACAATGCTTTTCGCGATTATGAGATGTACTCACGGCGACTGATGGATGCTACGTCAGTAACAGTTGATGCAGACACAGCTACCAGTGCCCAATCGGGAGAGTCTCACCACCGTACCTTGAAGGGCCTTGGGTTATCCAATCCTAGGCTTTATTAAGGTAGTCAGATGGGTTTTCATCAGCAACTCCTGTCAGGAAACACTCAGTTATTGTGGGTCTTTCCCTACAGGGAAGCCCGTAGCCCTTCGTCAAGCCGTAGGGTGCAGTTCCTTACCCGAATAAGTATAACTGGTATCTGAGGCGTAGCATAAAGTAGGGTTCTTGCCATGGTCAGCGCATTAGCTATGCAGCCAGTGTTCTTGGTTGCAGCAACCCAACCAATCAGCTTCTCATTATTGTACAATCAGAGTGCCATGGAGTCGCAAGTGCTGGCTGCGGCCCGTCGCTTCCTGGCCCCCACAGACTCTAGCCCCTACTACAGTCCCCTCTCAGTCGCCGGTGATTCTGCCCCGGCAGTTTCTGATATAAGGAGCGCCATGCCCTGGTAGCGAGCAGAATTGATGATGGCTTTGAACCTGGGTGATCTGTGAGTTACACCACCTGGTGTGGTAAAGGTATAGTTAGTAGTCGCTGGCTACTCCCCACCCCGGTGTGATTGAAAGGCCTATGCAACAGCACTCATCACCATCCCGGGCCAAAACCATGGTTTAGATTACCATCGTGTTTCAATGCCCAACCAAGCCTTACTATTTCTCCAGTTCAGCCCTGCAGGGAAAGTAGAACTCGTTCGTTGATCGCCTAGGGTATCCATTGCTCCGCCAGGCCCACCCTCACATCAAGACAGGTAACAGTGATTGCCAGTTTTGCAGTCCTGAATTGCTTTAGCTCTGATAGCCGTGGGGTTAAGGTTTTAGACCAGGGCCTTCATAAGACGAGGCGTTCAAGGACATGATATCCTTACTCTTATCACGTTGGTTATGTTCATAGGCTAGACGACCTGTCCCTCAGGCTATAGCATCTGGGCTTAACATTGTGGCCGTATTGAAGGTGAGCATGTTTCGCATTCAAGTCTGCCGAGGCAACCGGCTGATAATTTTGATCCTCGTGTAGACTTTCTTCGCCTCCCAGCTTTTTCTGGGCTATTGGGATAACCTACTTCCGTCTTGCGATCCTGGACCTCTATATTCAGACATTCCAAGTTGAGAAATTTCGTATCGCGGCGTATGCGCTAGAAGCTATTGTCAACCTCATCCGTCTCGTCAATGTTCCGGACTGTACTTTTGATCAGGATCTTACCTACTGAATGGCTGACAGCTCCATCTTAACTGTACCGGAAATGGCAATGGGGATTCTGGTTGCTTGTGCACCCATGATTGGCCCCGCCATTCTCCCAAGCCGGCGAAGGCGATTCGCATAGCAGGAGCAGGGCCCTAGTAACAGCAGTAACGCCAGCGGCGGTCGGTGGGCCTGGAAGCGACCGAGACAGAATACCACTGCTTCATCACCGTCTACCACTGATCACCACCCCATATACACTTTATATCCGTTCAATACGACACAGGCGTGAAAATGCATAGTTAGAACTCTCGAAGTGGACTAGATTCAAAGCGTCCAGCAGTACGGATTGACCCGCGTTGATTTCATGCCCCGGGACATCGAACAAAATCATATACGATATCAGTGACACATTATATTGGAGTCAGCTAGTAAACCAAACCTGGAGGACCAGCTTCTCATCAGGTGATTCTAGAACAATCAAGCTATAGTTACAGACGAACACAAGAGCCATAAGAATATGAGACCTAACGCGCTTTTTCTTTGTCTGATTGCCTTCCAAAAATTGGTTTTCGTTTCTCGGCCGGCTTCAAAATCTAATAGGCAACGACACATAATTCATAAGCATTCATCTTACCCAAACTCACCAGCGAATATCCATCAGAGACTCACCTGAAACGAGCAGAGAAGGTCCTCATCGATGCTCAGCATAGCCCCAGCATTATCAAACTCGCCACAATAATTAGGTGCACTGAAAATTGTCACCAATTGCCGCTTAGCGAAGAACTCATATCCATCCTGAACACACTCATGTGCGCGGCATACTAGATCTAGATCATGCTTCTGGGTAAACCGTTGAACCACATCGGGACCGAAAGTAAACGAAACACCACGTTCGTTCTCACCCCAGCCTACGATATTCCTGCCCGGGTCGGCCCAGAGGAGGTCACATAGTAAACCCACATCGGGGATCTTTCCACGATCAGTTATTAATTCTTCGAAGATAATGAAGAGGAAAAACATGGAGCATGCATGACTCACGTCTGTAGGCCGCATAATACGCCGAATCTGGTCCATCGAAGTCAAATCCGGGCTAAGTCCTCCATGCGTACAGAAGATCTTATCATCTATAATAGCAGCAATAGGCAGACAGTTGAAACAATCAATGAATGTCTTCCAGAGCTTTACATTATACCTTCGTTTACATTCGTCGTAGAATCCATAGATGCGATTGATGGATGCACATTCGTGATTCCCCCGCAGAATGAAGAAGTTCTCCGGGTACTTGATCTTGTAGGCTAGCAGTAGGAAGATACATTCCACAGACTGTTTACCGCGGTCCACGTAGTCGCCGAGAAATAAGTAGTTCGATTCGGGTGGAAAGCCCCCGTATTCGAATAGACGGAGGAGGTCGTAGTACTGTCCGTGAACGTCGCCGCATATCTAATGGTTCTTAGTTGTCGGGTAATATGTTGCAGTATTCTCTTAATGCTAAATGACTTACCTTAATAGGTGCCTCGAGATCTAACAGTATCGGTTGGGAAATGAAGATCTCCCTCGCCGTGCGGCAGAGGTATTCGATTTCGGACTCTTTGATTTCAACGAGTTTGCCTGGTCGCGAGCCTCTTACTGCTACTAACTTTGCAATAAGTTCATTCAGGTCCACGCTGTCCTTATTTGCCATGGTGGTAAAATGGGGATTTTCTAGAGGGTCTGACACAAAGGGGCTTCAACTATTGACGGCAATGATCGGTGGCAAACTCTGGGGAAGTTCAACACTTTGACCCCGGAACAGAAGGTATAAATACAACTGAGGAGAAGAATCATAGAAATGTTTTCGGGCATTCCCTGCCAAGATGGTATCCGTACAACCGGGTTGATCCGCTTGTGATCATGTTCCGGTGAAAGGGTTTGACAGCCTCAATGAATTGTTGACGATAAGGGCCCAGTAATGTAGATCGGCTTTTCGGAATTCCCCAGTGCCTTCTGTAATCACCATGGTACCGTATTAATCTCAGTAACAAACTTAAGATTTGTCTTGGCTTTCAGGTGAACTCCGGTGTTGCAGTCGGAGTTGAGCCCGACTAATCAGGATTGACAGATCCACACAGGATGTTACTAATGTCGCCCACCCCAATGCCCGGGATGTTCTATCACTTCTCTGTAGGGACATAAGACAGTCTATCACTCCTTCAGTGCACTCACGTACCTTATCTATAATTTATTCATATCCGACCAGACTTCCCAAACCTGCTTACACGTAGCCTTCTTCGCAGCAGAGCAATGATAATTGACATTACCAGTAGGCCAGATAATCAGCCGAAGCCACCGGGATTGGACTACCATCGCATCCGGACCCTTGACGCATGGATTGAGCAATTAATGAATTGTGTAACCTTGTCGGAGGATGATATAGAGCGACTATGCAATCAGGTACAATGTCACCAGCTTTCACGATCAAGCCGTTGTTGACATTTTCTCCAGGCAAGGGAGGTGGTGCAAGACGAATCGAACGTACAGCCAGTTGTGAGTCACCTGACTAGCTACCATTTTCAGTACAAGATATGACAATCCTAACCAATCTTATAGTCCAGTCCAGTCACGGTCTGCGGTGACATCCACGGCCAATATCATGACTTGATCGAGCTATTCCGAATAAGCGGGCCTTGTCCGGACACCAATTACCTCTTCATGGGTGAGACAGTCTGTACATCAGAGTGTCAAACCGGAGCTAATATCATCGCATTCTCCTAGGCGACTACGTCGACCGCGGTTACCACTCCGTCGAATCAGTATCCCTCCTCGTCGCCCTCAAAGTCCGCTACCCCAAGCGCATAACGATCCTTCGTGGCAATCACGAATCCCGTCAAATCACCCAAGTGTACGGCTTCTACGATGAATGTCTACGAAAATATGGCAACGCGCGGGTGTGGACATTATTCACAGACCTATTCGACTACCTTCCTCTTACCGCTCTCATCGACAATCGCATCTTCTGCCTCCACGGGGGCCTAAGTCCCTCAATTGATACTCTGGATAATATTCGGTCGTTGGATCGGGTACATGAGCCTCCGCATGAGGGTCCGATGTGTGATCTTCTCTGGAGTGATCCTGATGACAGATGTGGCTGGGGCATTTCTCCTCGTGGAGCCGGGTATACCTTCGGACAGGATATATCTGACGCGTTTAATCATAATAACGGCCTTAGTCTCGTCGCCCGAGCTCATCAGATGGTGATGGATGGGTATCTTTGGTCACATGACAGAAATGTGGTTACGGTTTTCTCTGGTATAGGCTGAATCTATCGATGAATCTGGCTCGGAACGTGCTAATGGGTTTGTTCTAGCTCCGAACTACTGCTACCGTTGTGGCAATCAAGCAGCGATACTGGAAGTAGATGAGCAACTCAATTACCAATTGTAAGACCGAGCGAGATCATTTAAGTCAAGGACTTTGCTGACACTTGAATTAGTATACAGTTTGATCCTTCACCACGGACTGGAGAACCTACGGTGTATAGAAGGACGCCAGATTACTTTCTATAGCTGTGACCTGACCCATACTGCCATGTATACTAAGTCTTACCATGTTAAAGTTCCTAGCATCTTTCCAAAGTTCTCATGGGCCAGGAAGAGGACGTATTGAGTTTTGGTTGCAATTTCCACAACGCCATCCGGTTTTGCACAGCTTACGTAATTATATAGAGGGTAGTTAGTTACTTATAGCCGAACAAACAGGCAACAGTGCGTTTGATTGGCTGACGAAAGCTGCCTAAAATCAAATCTCTTGGCGGTCAAATCGGATCCAAGGATTTTGGGTGGATCATTTGATGGTAAAGCCAGTCCGAGCGTTCAAGCCTCATCAAGCAAACTCCACTTAGGCTTAAGTATACTTAGATGTACGGTCCAGGTAAGACATATGCTAGTCCGCGCATTAACTAACATTGTGGTGCACATAAAGCCCCGTAAACTTGCAAGTTATCGAAATTTGAAAGGTGCCAACTCATCTCTTTCTCCAATTTTCTCTTCTACGACATGTAACGTGAACATATTGTTACTTCATCTATTCTGCAAAATGTCCAACCCACGTCAATATGATGGGTTTTCATTTTTGCCCACAGAGCTATTCGAAGCACTCCTGTCATACTTAGACGTCGACTCGATAAAGACTCTACGTCTCACAAGCGGAAAGATTGCCAAAAGATGCCTCGGTCCCCAATTCTTAGCATGCATCCAACAACCTGTGCTCGATGTGTCGTCGGAGAATTTTCGGTCGCTTCTTGCCTTGTCTCGCAACCCGGAACTCAGTAAGAAGATTAGCTCTCTTACTTTGTTAGCTACAATCATGGACATCCCCGGATTGGAAAAAAACGTCAAAGACGGATACTACATTATCGAAAGGTCCCATGGGCCCATATTTGAAAGGGTCGGAGTCGACTATTCTCCCGAAGAACTTTGCAACGCCAAGAAAGACCTGATCTGGTTGAAAGAGCAACAAGAAGCAAGAGAAAGGGACTCATCGAGCGTGTTAATTGGTCTCCTTCGATTTGCAATCGAACAGTTTGGTGAACTGGATGCTATCAATTTAGATAGTGCGGTTATCCGCGGACGAGAGGAGAGAAGATCGCTGAAGCATAAGGAGTGGATTCCGCTGTGGACACGAGCCGCAGATGTCTTCTCGTGGGTAACGACTGCCCTGGCGCAAAGTAAGGCTTCGGTGAAGAGACTCGATATTTACCAGAGTAATCGAGAATGTGGTATTCAATCTGGCAACATCAGGGACGAAAGCTTGTTGTATGACCGAACGGAGCTGGAAATATCTTGTAAGGGGTTGGAGTCACTCGAAATGAGCATATCCGGGGACATACAGGATGCTCTGGACTATAACAAAAAATTGGAAGAAGAAGACGAAGAAGACGAGGATGAAGACGCATCCCGCGAAGGGGACGGCCAAACAAGTCCTAGGAAAAAGGCTTGCACATCTACGGAGCATGATTTGGATGAAACACCCAAACTTCCATCATTCTTCCTCATATCTGCACCTGCTCTTCGAAAGCTCGAACTCTCATTCCGTCGTACTGCTGCTCCACCCGATTCCGAGTTCATGCATAAGCACAACTGGATTATTGACAGTATTGCTCGGGAGACCAACTTTCCCTTAATAGAAAGTTGCACCTTTGCCGGATTTCCAGCCAGAGGTGAATCAATTCTTCTCTTTCTCGAGAGACATCCTAGTCTCCAGTCCCTAAAGATTCATGAATGTCATTTGAGCTCAGGGTCATGGACACCAATATTTGCTCATCTGGAAACGTCGATGCCGGAACTCCAGAACTTGAATCTGTCGAACTTGTATGGCAAACATATGCAAAATCTGAAGTACGTACAAGGACGGGGGCGGAACACAAATGACAACAGTGAGGAGAATGCAGAGGATGACTGGCAGGAAGGCGATGGTATGGTTGTTCTGCGGCCAATTTGGGATACTAATCCCTTACCGCGTTGGACAAGGTACTCGTCATCTAACGGGAGCGTTGTACACACTCGAAGCTTCACTCGCGAGGAATTGAAAAAGGGACTTGTTTTTCGGCCTCTGGGTAAAGGGCCTGGGAGAATTAAAGGCTCTCCTGAGTTTGCATATTGGAGAACCTCTCGGAAAGCACTTTATGGGCCTCCTCCATAGGTCTTTTTGGTGGGACAATCCTATTTACCCTTAGAAAATTTACCTTTCTTATATAAGCTTTCCCGTACAAATGATATAGAACAATGCAAACTAAGCTGGCATTGGGTCCAACAGTTTGACATGTATTGGATGACCAGTGCTTGCTCACCAGACTTATTAACCTTGTAGGTTAGCTGATGAAGTTCTCCAAATGAGTGACTTGATCATGTATCGTGAATGACGTCAGCTAGAGATATCATTTAAATTACAAAATTTCACTGTTCTCTATATATTATGTTGGGGCTGTCTGAGAAGTAGGCAGTGGATTTAGACGAGCTTTTACCATAAACCAGCAAGTTGGAGATATTTGCTCCAAGTGGGTCCCGAATATTGGCAAGGTCTCCACCGATCTTAGCGACCTTGAATGGCTTCTTAGAATCTGGGCAGACATCTCTATCCGGCCGGTACCTGAATTTTGCACATCAAAAGCCATCCCACAAAAGATATCCTAGACCCTGATGGTCTACTAAAATACAACTATGGACAGTTAGCCACGACACTAAGCCCGAAGGGATGTGTGCCCCACGTATAACCTGAGTCTTAAGCTTGTGGTGATCACAAAGGTCAATTCCACCTGTCCAACTTTGCGTACCTGATTTTAACATGCTGGCGGAGTTTAGCCGGGACCACAGCAGAAATTTAAAGTGGTCATATTAGCCAATGCTTTCTTCAGTATCATTGCTGAATCGTACTTAGGGTAAAATGGAGCCTTCATCAAACCAACCGGCGTTGCTTTCTTTCGCCGATATTAGACCATTTACCTTAAGCACGAATCAGTTGTTATAGATAGGGCGGGTTCAAATTATCTTTTCGGACCCTTTCCAAGTAAGTTTTGAGCCCGGGTGAACACGACCCCAATACAGATTCACCTTATGTAGTATGTAAATGTGTTCGATAGTGAACCTCAACACTCAAAACACTGTGCTACGTAGCGAAAACAGGAAGGACAAATGTATTAGGATACTGGAATACCTAGTGGTCCAGGGTCCTGCAGGCTTCGGTCTTGGTCCAAGTGGACGCAGACTGCACCATGGTCACTCTCGCGTCGCTTAAACTACTAGGGCCATTCTAGTGGATCTGTCGGTTGGGGTGGTCCTTGTCTTCTGGTACGGTTCATGTACTCAACTATCCACTTAAGACATATCTCTCTACGCCTTTTTCGATGGAAATTATATTGTTCTTCCATATAGCCTACAAAGAGCCAAGGTATTGTTCTGTCGTGGACTATTACTGACATATAGCCGCTGCAACGCACGTAAGAAACGTGTGACGGTAAGAATCATAAACGATACAAGACACTAAAACACAGGCAGACACAACCATTTCAGCGTTGATAAGTTTGAAGAAGCTCGAGTATGGTTAGAAAGGAAGCCTGCAGATCTGGAACGTTTGTAGTATACTTCATTCTCGTCTCTGCCACCTCCGATTGGCTCTTATCACCGAACTGTCTGCACTTTGATCTCGCTGCAGGATCTGCACCTGCATCTAGCAGAATTTTGACAATTCCCTCCTTCGCAATGTAGACGGCGCAGTGCAAAGGCGTGCCCCATTCTGGAGATGTCGTATTCGGATTCAGACCCTTACCAAGAAGGAACTTGGTCTTGAATTCCCCATCTACCTCACGCGGACGAATTGCCTGAAAGAAGAGACTGGGTTCTATGTTGGCCCCGTATTCGACAAATAGGTCAAATAAAGATGTGTCATCTTTGCAAGCGATCTCTAGTGCAGTGGCAAGCGGAGCTACCTTCTTTGGTCCGCGGCGATTGGGATCAGCTCCTCGCAAAAGGAGCTCACGAGCTGGGTCAGCATTCAGGAAGCTATTTTGCTCGATATGTCAGCATCGCGGCTTCATTTTGCCCTTTACGGATATTTGCGGCCCATCGAGATGATATGAACCTACCGTAAGAGAGGCTCTCAATCGGACGTGGTACGGTTAGGATTGAGACCCCGATCGAGGTAATGACGAACTACATCGGGATGTTGCTCGCCATCCTTTCCACCAAGGGCATCTATTGCAAAGGCTGTCATTGGAGCACCAGCATCGAAAAGTGCGGCCACAACATCCGGATTCGCCGCACCGGTAGCGAGACTAAGGCCATGTTCGAGGGTACGTGTGGGTAAGCCGCTAGCGAGGAGCTTTCCTATTTTTCTCAGGTCACCATCAATGCATGCAGAATAAAAGGCCATCTCAGAAGGAGCGCCAGGTTCCATGTCGTCTAGTGACATGAGATTAATGTGGAATGGCCACAAGAGGGGAGCATGAAAGGCGTCTTTGTGCCTGAGACACAGGCGGTGGCGGAGACCGGAGACAGTCGCTGTAGCTCGTGATTGGTCACGCAAACTGGTCCATGCACAACAAACTTTCAGGCCACATCTTTGAGCCTCGAATAACGACTATAGATGGCCCAAACTACGCTCCTATAAGTAATCCTGAGGTCTTGGCCATGGCTCTTATTTATGCCAAGACAGGTCAGGGCAGATGAGTTATGATTTACGAGCCTACACCTCACATTGACTCTGCTTACGGACCACCGGCCAAACTGCCCGGGCCAAGACCGCAGTCCCGAACCATGGTGAGCTTACCCATGACAACGGCTCATTTCCGAGGATCTCACCAATAATGAAAGACAATTAGAAATTTCCCATTCATATCTACGGTTCTAGTAAGACAAAAAGGCAACCTCTGGGTGGAGCATTTACTAATATGGGATTAGTGCATGGGCTAGCTGTCAATTAGTAGATCAACCAGGGTCCCAGGGTTTGGATTTCCGTTCCATGGTTCGTGTGGGGTATTTTACCAAATATTTACAGATATATCTCCATCACTCAGGGTTCTTTATTCTCTATCTTCAATGCCCCCCCGGTGAAGCTCATCGATTCTCGCGTATTGTATCTTCATCGCTCCCAAGCCTATGTCTGACTATTACGAACTTTACGACGGCTCAGCCATGACCCAAGGCATCCAAAGAATTAGTAATTAGTCTTTTCCAGTTGGACTCAATGGACACATCAAATTATACATATAGATTGTAGAAGGCTTAGGACCCTTGATAAACCTTTCTCGTGGCATGGTCATAGTATTTAAATACATTCTGGATGAGCACTTGTATATATATCGATCAATGCCATCAGCGTTGTCTTACTATATTGACTAAAACCTGAGAGGTACAATGTATCTTGGAGGTACAACCACGGAAGAAATTGGTAGAAAAGGGGTTTCATTATTCAAAAGATAGTGTTTTTTTGAAATGTGAGAAATGTTGGAGATTATCACCCAAGATGGTTTTCCTCTAGGGCTCTTCAATCAGACCCCCTCACTCATTCTATATCCAGAGCGAATCTAACCTTACTCACCTTGTTTCTATACAGAAAATATCGTGCGACATGAAAGTATATCTATATATGCTCACCATTTATCCTCATGATACAGTTCATCTTCAGCCCACATCATAGCCCAGGTCTGTGTTTGCCCACCACCTATGTCGTGGGCTTGGTCAAATTTGAAAAGATTTCTCCCTCTAACTGTATCCTCCTCATCCAAATGCCGCACATTCCTCACTCTGACGTATGGAATGTCTGTCCATCGCGATTGATCTTGAAGGGTTGGCACCAGCTCGCCCACCGTAGTCCGGATTTTGTTCCACTGATAGGTGTAGTCATCCGCGCTAGGATCCTTAAGCTGCCTGTAAGCTTTTGATGGACGGATGAGGTAGGCGCGGATGTGTTCATCCTCAATGATATTGGCATCGAGTTTGGCGTGCTGCTTCCCCCCCTTCCTAAGCAGGTTGAGGACGCTGATCTCCAGTAACTCCTCGTCCGTTCGACCCTCTCTCCAGCCGGGGTTTCCTTTCTCGTCTATTTCATCTGCGGCGAAGGCGACATTTTCCCACCAGTGTGTTATATACACCGCTTTGCGGCTGATGATATACATGGTAGTGCACCCATGAAGTCCCTCTACTCCGGTGCTGAATTGATTGGTGTTTCGTGTCCGACCGAGTCGGTGCATAATCGCCGCGCTTGTCGAGGCCGCTGTGCGGTAGCTGTTTTTCAGCTCGAGTTCCCTTGTACGCTTAGGCATCTCATCTTTATAGAAAATCCCCAACGATGGACCGGGCAGCGTCATTCGCTTTGACAGAGGCATTGCTGCCCCTGCTGCTGTTGCGTTGGTGCCATTGCGCTCCAGCCGAATGTACCCTACGCTGCGTTTGCTGTTGCTAGTAAGAACTCTCGCGATCCCGCATTTGGTACCGATATCATCCCGTTTGACCACGGTATGTGCTTCTTGATTGCTCGTTAGCCCGGTGTGCTCGTCTTAAGAATTTGGAAAGTCTTCCATACCGTTGACAAAGGGATCTGCGGACACTGCGAACGCCAGCCATGCTAGTAGTACCCATAGTAACCTCATGGTTGATGGGGGCAGATATAAGATGATATGGGAAGCTACGCCCTTGGAGGGTGCGAAGATTCAAAAGTTCAAGTAATAGCCGATGGGTAACCAAGCAGAGGAGAGACGGGGGAGAGAAAGAATAAAGAAGGAAAAGATCTAGGAGAGCCGAGCGATAATATCTCCCTCGTATTTGCCTCGACGATGTTTACTGTACCAATAGCAAAAGCCACTCAACGTATGTGGGACCATTCAGTTCTTGAAAAGTGACTTGGTCTGCTTCAGGAGTTTCGCTAGGACATGTCTCATTCCATCCTTTCTCAGTTATAGTGGGTATCCCTAGAGGGTCCCTCATCATGGGCCTAGTGATAGTCGGGTATACCACGGTATAAGGTATAGTACTGTGGTGCTGATCGATTGGTTCATCGGCAGGCCTTGCTCTAGAGAGCAAATTACCATCGCTTATATCTAGAAGGCACAGTTTCGTTATTTGATAAATTTAATAATATCCGAGACATTACCAGACGCTGTTGCTCAAAGTCAGAAGAAGCTGGGCAGCTTACGCTTACTAAAAAGAATTACCATCATCCTGATCAAGATAGAGGATCTTTTGAACGCTCCTAACACTCACCGTATAGGAGCAAAAGTAGCTTGCCTACATTTGATGAGTATTCACCGCTACCTGAATATCGACCTGGCACGTACTCGACTAGTCAAGTAGAGATGCTCAATGAATATCGTCTTCCATCTTCCAATCTTTTGAGCTCTCAATGGACCAAGCTTAGTAGCTGTTGTTATGATTGCTCTATAGACCGCATATAATAAAAGCCTGCTTGACAGGATCGATACGCTCGAGGAATGGCTGTATCTATGGTACTAGTAGCTTTGCAGTGGGTCGTGGTCTAGTAATCTCCGGACCCGTCCGACTATGTAGAGGGGTCAACGAATCGGATATGAAGGGTTGGCTGGTACAGATAGACCCATAAAGTTCTTGTTCAAAGCGTGGGGCGAATATCATCTGCGGCTCAGTCCCTTGGCTAGCTGTCAATAGTGTCAGCTTAGTAGATGAACAACGACCCAGTGTCTCAGACCTGCTTCTTGGTTCTACCTGTTGTATTATTTACATAGTTTCCCTGCAGTAGCTGTGGTGGGTCTCGTGGGTCTCCGATAGTTAGTTCTCCCCGCTCCACCTGACGACCATCCAGTTAATCAGGTGGGGCAAATGTAGGGTTGCGAAGGAGACTTGATTTTGCCGGCAGAATTTCCAGAAATTAGAGAAGATCAGGCAGAACGGGAATGCAGGAAATGGGAATGGAGACCGCGACCAGAAGCCTACGTAGGTGGAAGACAGGCGTCTTCAAGCGTCTGGCTACAGTAAATGCCACAAGTTAAAGTCACTACCAATCTCTTTAAGCTATCAACGAGCAGCCCTTCGCTCCAGCGGGTACCCGTCTCGTGTCTTTAAGATCTAATTTTTACCACCAAGTAGCCCATCCATACTCACTCCAAAGCACATGCGGATCAACAGACTCACAGCATCATAGAATGCCCGGAAGCTTTTTGAATGGTATTCCCCGAATAGCCAACCTATCACTCTCTAAACCATCACCGCGGACACTTATACGTAGTAGGTTCGTAACTAAGGGACAGTCTTGGTACGACTGCGTGTCCGGCTACTAACGCTGCCTTCCCCTGGAATTCGTGTCTTCCGGGTATTCTGGGTCTTTTGGGAGCCAGTCCAATTCGAGTCACCCGTTAAAGAACCTGACAATCCAGTGTCGACAGCATTGAGTCGTTCGTTGATTTCCGTTCTATTCGCGGCAGGGGGCTCCGTATCGCTCTCGGTATTTGACCTCTCCGACGCAGCAACTGTAGGAAGAGAGACTCCGATCTGTGTAGATCCGAGAAGCTCTATGACACTTTGATACATACCCTTCATAGAAGAGCCTTCATGAGAAGCTCGCATCTTCCACTCGGCGACTTCCACGGGGGTTTTATTTTTGAACTTCATACAGTATGATCGGGAGTTCGGATCTGCTCCCAAGTCGAGAAGCATTCTAATAATCTCCTTATCGGCGAAGAGAGCTGCAACATGTAGCGGCGTGCCCCATTCTGCAGAAATTGTCGTGGTCGGATCAAGACCCTTGGAGAGAAGGAAACGAAATTTGATAGCTGCATCGCTGCTCCAAACAAGAGCATCAAACAAGAGACCGGGATCCATCTTCGCCCCATATTTCACAAGTAATTCGAATGTAGACCCGTTGTCCTCGTGAACCAGGTCAAGAGAGCTGGAGAGGGGGCTTATCTTTCTCGGACCGCAGCGGTTGGGGTCGACGCCTCGCTCGAGTAATTCCCGGGCACAGTCAACCGAATAAAATCTACATTACCCAGTACAGTTAGTTTCTCTATGAAGGCCAATAATTATTGGGAATTGAAGTACCGTAAAAGAGGCTCGCCTTTAGTCGTAATACAATCACTAGGCTTCAGACCACGATCGAAGTAGAGGCGAATGACGCGCGGGTCCTGTTTCGCATCATTCCCACAGAGGCAGCCTATTGCATTTGGCGACATAGGCACACCTGCCTCAAAGAGAGCTGCTACTATGTCCGGATGTGCCTCTTTAGTACTGATCCTTAGTCCAGTGTCAAGATCCTTAGCAGAGAGTCTTCCGCTGGCGAGAGCCCTCTGGACTGCCCGAAGGTTACCATCAATGCATGCCTTCTGAAAATTATATGAAAGAGCGTCGTCTGCGGTGTTGGGCGACATGGTATGATGTGGCCTGAGGTTGGAGGAAACAGAGATTTTTGGATTTTTGTGGAATGATTGTTTGTTATATTACGGTACATGGGTCCAAAGAGGAGATTGAGTTTAATGCGTTTGGAGCAGGCGGTGACAAAAGCGGGAGACATATCCAACTAGGGGTCAGTCTATACAAGCTAATACAACGAAAATAGTATTCAGCTATGCTATTTGGTATCATCATATGAATTCATATCATTAGGTATAGGCATTGCGCTTGTAGCCCATGCAGGCATTCAATTTTAGGTACCAGTATTTACAGTGGGGAGGAACCCTTGGCATGGCCCAGCATTTGTTTGTATTTTCGGCCGAACCTAGGACGAACTCCCTTTGCGGAAGGCTTGTCTGTACAATTTTTATCTTAACCTGGATATTCCGTTTACTGAAGGGTGTGCGGAGCTTTATCTGTAGAATTTGGTTCCCCAAGACACGGACAGAAAATTTCCTGTCAATGTGGGATCCGGTTGAAGTCACAGTATAAATAATACGGCCGGCAATCCAGTAGTTGTAGTCTTTTGAGAAAGTAACTCCTAGTACTACATCTAGGGGTATCTGCATCCTAGCCTGCTCTCTACACTCGAACTCTTTCCTTTTGGACACAATGACACGTCTGTCACCCTTACTCGTCTATCTTGTTTCTATTTGTGCTACACTCTCCCATGCAGAGGATGAGTATTTCACCGTGGGCGATTTGAGCCAGTACACTACAAATGGAGTTCGTCTTTCCCAAGTTCCTCCGCACAATTTGATTCTGCAAAACACCTAACACTCTTTCTTTAGATCGCCACGCCTGCACTCACCGGGTCTGTGATTGAAGTCACCGCGGTCGGTGACCCGGCCGAGAATGGGATTCTAGCCTTCCTATCTCCGGATATGCAGACCAGCCTAAAGGCCAGCATGGATAGTGACTGCGGGGCAGAGATTGACTCGACTTGTTATCAAGGGGTGCTGGACATCCTGGACGATCCTGATCGTGTACTTCAGTCGGGTAGCCTCCAGAAACGCTTTAACCCAGTTTTTCTGGCGGCGGGAGCCATTGCGGTGATCGCCTTCTTAATTGCAAAAGTTTATCAGGAAGACAAGGTCGTCCCAGTTCCCATCAAGATGCCACCAGAGCAACTGGAGGACTCTTTCGATCTGGAAACTGCCACCGCCATTGTCTTCGTAACTGAAGACAACAATTCAGGACAGACTATCACGCAGGCTCCCGAACAGGACAGGGCAACTGGATCGCCAGCCACGTTTACGACCTTTGCGAGTGCCGGCAATGGCGCGAGTACCGGAGACATGGGAATCGAATTAGACTCAAAGACGGCGGAGCATATTCAAGCTCTGCTGTCTGGATCAGACAACAGCAACTGCGATGTGGGCGCCGACTTCTTTCCTTCCTCTCTCCGTGCTCGCTCGCTGGACATGGACATCATCTGTGGCGCACAGAATATCCTCGCCGACGGGATCGGCCGGGATGGGTATCCCAACTGGCTTCTCATGAACCAGAGACGGTTTCCATGGACCAACGCGGAGGTTGTTGCAGGACTGAATACAATGGTGGGGTGGGCGCTCACTCAGGCCCGCCGACTAAACCCAACTATCAGTTCATCCCATCTTCATGACCTGGCTGTCGGGGCCTTTGTCCTGTCGTGGATTTACTCTAATAACGGGGCTATCACCACTAACAACATCATCCCATCTGCATCCCTTCAGGGTGGTCCCACTGCTACGGTCTGTCAAGCGCAAACTGCAACTCAATGCAATGTCGGATGCGATGTCCAGCCCGTAGCCCCCCAATTCGCGTGCTCAACGGCCTGCGTGACCGTCACATCTTGTGATGCGCAAAATACCATCACCACCACAGCCACGGCGACGATGACCGCCATTGGCCCGGATCCTACCGATGATTTGGATGGCCAGGGACAGCAGGTTGCAGTCGCATCATACATCAATCCGCTGAGTGATCCAGCCGCTTGGGACCGGCTGATAGATTACGATGCAAAAAAGATGCCCATATTAGTTGCCAATGTTGTCAATGGACCGGATTCGACAGTTGACAGCAACTGGGAAGATGTTATCAAGCGAGCTTCATCTGCCGGAAAGACTGTCCTTGGCTATGTGCGAACTGGATACCTGGGTGTGAGCGACCAAAAGTTCCATACGCGGCTGGGGTCCGGTGACCTGGCAGATTGGACAGCTCAGATTGAAGAAGATGTGGATATGTGGTACAAGCTTTATGGTGATAGCATTGGTGGCATTTTCTTCGACGAAGGCTGGCCTGAATGTGGCGACAACAACCAATACGTCGACCTGTACAAGTATATCAACGCCTATACTAAGCGAGCCCACCCTGGTGCGCTCACAGTCCTGAACCCAGGATCCCCCATGGCGTCTTGCTTCGAGGACACCATGGACACCCTGCTCACATTTGAGCTGAGCTACGACTCTTATGTCAACTCGTATACTCCCAACGATTGGACGCCCAAGGATCCGCGGAAGCTCTGGCACATCGTATATGATGTTCCCGAAAGCGCTGTGAGCGAGGTAGCCAAGTTAGCCAATCAACGCGGAGCGGGATTTCTGCAACTTACTGATGACACCTTACCCAACCCATACGATACTCTGCCCGCAGATTCATACATCCAAAGTATGATGGATGCCATTGACGGTGGTTCGCCTTTGAACGCGGACGCTGCATCTTGGGAAACTGGAAGTGCTGCAGGAGCCGTATCCGGACTAACAGTCGTGACGTCGGACTACAGCTCTGCTAAACTGTCGTGGAACGCAGCTTCAGATGCTCTTGGCTACTATGTGTATTCCGGTGACAGCCTTATAGCAAGTGTCCCCAGTTCAATGACGACGGTCACAATCGGCGGTCTCGACTCCGGTACCAGCTACGCACTCCATGTCAGTGCTGTGGGCGGCAGCGGGAATCTGGGTTCGTCTTCGAATACCGTGGCAGTGGAAACTACGTCCCTGCCAGATGGTAAGACCGTGACAAATTCCTATGCATCAACCAGTGAGGGGTCAACTACAATCCACGCCGACATACTGGTCCCTTATTCCTTCGTCCGTCTCTACATCTGGGACTCGGTGGGATGTGAGTTTGACACCGATCCAGGTTGGACCATCAACTTCAAAATTGATAACTACGTCTGTGCCCAGTACATGGTCGAGGGAACGACATTATACAAGTACAGTGGTACGGTTCCTGAAGGATCTACGGCTCCGCCCTGGTCCTGGACAGTAGTTGGCCCCATTACTCTCACCACCACAGATTACACATATACTTGGACATTGCCAATTGGTACCTCCACTATCGACACAAGCAAGTTCGTGGTTCAGGCGCAAGGCTACAACCCCTTGACGAATATCTTCGAGCCGGTTCCCGACGATTATGACTGCAAGGGCTCGTCCATGTGCAGTACCCCCGGCATGTTAAAATGGTGCGATCACGCCGTAAATACCTTGTATCGTGATGATGATCCCACCTATCACTCAGCCGAGTAAGTTTGTACCCGTCATCCATTCTCCTCGACGCAAAAAACCCTAACTTCATTCTACTACATAGTGATCAGAACTCGCTTAGTGGAAACTGCTGGGGAGACCAGAACCGTGGCTGTGGTGTCTTTTTACAAGGCCAGAACTGCAGTATCAGTGGCAACGATATGTGGAATGACTACCAGAACATCCGCAAGATCGGGGGCTGTAAGAAGTGCGGCTCATATCATAGGGGAGACGGTTGCCTGGTGACCATCAACTATGTTTACCAATGTGATAACCATTGATTGGAGTTGTTGACGGGACGATGGAATGACACCAGTGTCGGAGTATTTTTCAGTCATTGTATAGACTGGCTGAACTTTTCTCTTTGTTAACATTCTTGTATAGTCCGTGGAGTGGAAGATCTTTCTATATGTACGTGTCGTATGTATTCCGAGCAATTTGCGATTGTACGTGTGTATGAACATTTGGTGTACTTTCGAAGGCAGAGGTATGGAAAATATCTGTCTAAGGTTAGGAAAAGTTTTAAGCGGTATATCAAACTAGTTATGACCGACGTCGAGGATGATATATTTTAGCAAAACTCCAGTTGTTCATATAAACCATCCCTACCCCCAAGGTACTCCAGCAGAGTGTTCATAACCACATTAAGGACTGTCATTCCTCTGGGCTGCACTGAAACCGTCAGTCGGAAGAAATTGTGAGTAATCCTTTCTGGGCCACCCAATACGTTGCTCAGGTGGCCATGAACGGAAATGAAACACGGTATGCTTCTTCACCTTACGGTATGACATTTCTTCGTTCTGGGGTGTACGTTAATTATTCTAAAGAGAGAGGAATGTGACGCGCCCGACATGTACTGGCAGCAGCCAAGAAGACTACCATATACGCAAGCCTCAAGGTCCTTACAGGTAAGAGAAAAGCGAGATCTGAGCACTTCCTGGGTTCTCCAAACATGATGCCAAGAGCTTCTGAAGGCCCTGCGGCCATGAGGTCACAACGACCTGCTGAGATGCAAGGTGTAGAGGTCACTAGTTGATCATACATAAGCGGGAGAAGGCCCACTCCTTCCAAGTAACTTTCTACAAGTCCAACAGCAAGAACCAAGTCGGCGTGTCTGTAGTGACCTTCGTGGATATAATCCACCCTCTGCATTAGTTATCTCTTTTCAACATCGGTGTCACCAATATATTCTGCAATATCTTCTCATATTTGCCCATTCTACTACCAGTTTCCGCAGTGTCAAGGAGATATAGTCAATTCTTGACTACATTGGTCCGCATTCTGACAACTTTCGCCATGGGGCTGTTGAAGCTCCTTCTAATCCTTTTTTGCATTGCGTGTCTACAACTTGGGGTATATTTTGGCACTGACATGTAACGTGTGGATCTAGCCCAGCTGATAAAGGAACAGAGTTGGATGATAAAGAAGCGGCTTTCTGCGTTGGAGAAGACTTCGGCTCTACCCCTACGTGAAAATGCGCAAGCAAAATACGGTATGCTTCCAGCAGTGCTGTTGCAGTATAGGATCTAGCGCAGCTGATATGTGTTTAACTTAGAATCTCGAATGATGGACCCCGAAGTATAACGAGAGGACCTGACGCGGGATGAAAGGCGCAGGATCGCCTCGGGATCGCAACATGGATTAACTAGGAGGAATTTCTCGTTCTGAGTACTATTCTTTCCTAAATCGCCTTGCGCGATTCTCGGTCATTTTGTTATAACTAAACGTACAGGGGAGATGCCAGTCCTTCCGTGAGGAATATTCTCACCGTGCTCTACCTTATGTACCTCGCCCACAGTGCCATTTTTCTCTTCTGGGCAAGCATTTTCCCCCCAAACTTGCACCTACTGAGTGCGAGGCTTTTGTTGTTCTTCTTCCTTGAACTATGTAGTCTTTCCAAGTCGCTGTTATTACTACGAGCTGTGTTCTCAAGGAACTGACCCATGTTATCCTTCCCTAAAGAATGATGCTCCAACTCATATTGAAACCTTTGCCTATTCATCCTGCTTGTCCTCTCTCAATCCCCGCCCAGAATTGGTTCCCACTACCCGTATCCATTCCTTTACATCACTTGGCGACCACTTTCTGGGCTGTATTTCAACGTCTTATGACAGTTTGTGCTGTCGTAGTCACCAGTATCGCCATCACCGGTCGGCGACCAACGCTCGGTCATGGCATCGGCGCTTTCGACGACGACTACGACAATAATAGAGCGAACGTATTGCCACTGTCGACAACCATCTACGAGTCTCGCCGTTCATTCGTCAAATGCCGCCCTTCCAACTCGGCTTTTGGGAGATCGATGGTATCTTGAAAGCTCGGAGCAAGTGATTTATCGGGAGTGATGTTGGTGTGTGGCGCGACCGATAGTTTCCTCCTTTTTGTCGGCGAATCCTTTGGAAGGTTTGAGCAACAAAACCATATTAGCTGTTGCGTCTCTCGGTCATGCTCCTGACAAGGTGAAAAGAGGAGCATGACAGCAGGGGACAACAACACACCGACGAACCTACGGCCGCCGGTACGAAATGATGCTCAAATTCTTTTCTCGGTTGTGTAGCCGCGGCTAAACTTGGATTTTCCCCTCATACGATATAAGCAGGCGACTGTTTCAACCTTGTCTACTTTGCTGAAAAACAACCACATACTGCGGTTGAATAAAAGAGACCACGTGATTGCAAAGGCCAAACTAGCAATTTGAGCCTGAACAGGCGGTTGGGCCTGGATGAGATAAGCAGTCTCGTTCCAAAGTCCGTAAAAGACCGGTAATAATAATAATCAGGTTACAGATAATATCTCTATTCTATCTCAGATTTCACAAACCTGTGGTGATTGGGAAATCCTAATTCAGAAAAGGAGTCTTTTATGTGGCACTAACTGGGTGGCCGGCCCGGGCGGGAACTACGTTACTTGGTTAGTTATCCTTCCTCTATTTGCTAACTTGGCAGACCCCGCACTGTGGCACATGCACATACTTGTTGAAAGCAGTGACGGCGAAACCACATATGTATGGGAAACTCGCACAAGATCTCAATACTTGTTTGTTTTGTATGAATGTTTACATCTAGTCGCATTCTGCCTGTCAGCTGGTTTTGCTTACTCAACGATGTAATGGCGAGTAGGAGGTCTAGCAAGCCGTATATGTGCATACACCGAGGCTTAGAGAGAGGCTTAGAGAGAGGCTTGAGCGGAGGCTTAGATGCAGACTTAGAAGCAGGCTTTGATGTCTTGAAATCATGGCTTTTTAGATATATAGCGGTAAGTCAGAGCGAATTCCGCAATGTTTTACCTTGAAAAGTCTCAGCATAGGGATACAGTTACGTTGACCTCTTTGTGTGGTTTCTTATACTCTAGGATTGCATTACACCATCACAACTCAACCAGACTGTACGTTACCCATGAAGGCCGATAGTGCGGGGTTCATCCACACCCCACTGGGTACTGATGAACACTACATCCGACTTCTCAAATTTGACTCTACCGCCCCAGAGAAACCTCTCAAATTTTCTCTCATAACATGCAAATTCGCAGAGAAACCTGCTCACAACAGCCTCTCCTATGAATGGGGAACTGTCGCAGCCGACCAACTGATCCTCGTCAACGATCGGCCCTTCTTCATCCGGGAGAACCTGCACAGCTTCCTAAAAGTGTTAGCCACCAGTGCTTACAGAGAAAATTATTTCTTCGCGGACGCAATTTGTATCAATCAGGTGGACATTTCCGAGCGTAACGCCCAGGTACAGCGAATGGGCGATCTTTATGCACAGGCAGAGAATGTGCTCGTCTGGCTTGGGCACTCTACAGCCGAGAGTGATTTTGTCTTCGATGTATGCATTGATTCAGTAGCGAACAGCACCATCGCCACGACCAAGCTGGGGGAGCAAAAGGCTAGAATCGAGGCCCTTGATTTCAACGCGCCCGACGGACAGGCCCTGGATACAGTATACCAACGGTCATACTGGACAAGACTGTGGATCATCCAGGAGATATTCCTCGCGCGAAACATTATCCTATTTTGTGGATCAAAGTCGACAACATGGTCAGTCTTTAGGCGGCTCCCGAGGTGGAACAAGGGCGAGTTTGTCCTGGGAGGCTTCACGGGAGTTGATATGGTCCTTGGGAGCACACCGGCCGGACGGCATGCAAGAGAAATTCTCAATGAGTTGGACAAGAGGCAACAGGGAAGAAGCACCTATGAAGACAAAGGGATCGTCGACTTGACTCTGAAATTTGGTCTGGCTCAGTGTTTCGATGTTCGCGATCGTGTCTATGGTCTGCTTGGTCTCGCTAGCGCATCCGGTAAACACGAGGAAGATGGAGGCCTTGAGGTCGTCGCGGACTATTCGGAGAGCCCAATGTGTCTATTCGTGCGCCTTTTGCGTACCATGCCACGTGAGCTCCGTATTGAAACCGCACTAAAGCTCTTCAACATTCTGAAGCTGCACCATGCTCACGAAAGTGCAATTGTTGGAAACATTCCAGACAGGGACAGCAACTTCAACATTCCTTTCGACGTCTATTTTACCCATATAGGACATCTCAGACATGTGACTCAAACCTCTCGACCTTCCTGCAGACCTTGCCGCAACTGGGCAAGGCGATCTGTTCCATTTGTGATGAACGAGTCCCTGCACCAACAGCTGGCGGGAAAGACTTGCTCGCAGATAAAAACCGGTGAAAGTCAAAGTGCTATGGCCAGACATGGTGGTGGGCCTCTATATAAAATGATGTCTTATAACAGCTGCGTAACTGAGTCCGGCGCTTGTGAAGGAGATGAGGTTTTCCTTCTGGAAGGTACAAATGTCGTCCTAATCCGACATCAAGATGATTCAGGTTCTACGCTACGTTACATGCGGGGTGTTCTCTGCAGCATAGAAAGGGAGCAAAGTATCCAGAGAGCCGGGGAATTGCTCGATAGCTGCCTCTCGTACTTACCATCTATCGATGGGGTCTGTCTCAGGACTGAGAGGCATACGATATGGACTCTAGTGGGCCCAGTTGAGTTTGTCTATGAGGAGCTGAGTCTGCGACAGATTTTATTGCTTCTCATATATACTGGACAACACAGTGATTATTGGAATCGGCGGTTAGAGGCTACTTCTAGCGACTAACGACCAGAAGGATGGGCGAACGTCTGTTACATAACCATATAGTCTGAACGCGCAGTCTTTTAGCAGGCCCTGTTCAACATCATTCTCTAATGTATTCTTATTTGAAAGACGAAGCTCAGATGCCATGTCGATATGTATGTTACTTGCCTTGGGGAAATTTCACTGTATGACGTATGTTGGTTAGGTCTGCATTAGTCCAGGCATCAGAATCACATTTCACGATAAGCTTCATTTGACAGAAATATGCAAGTATCCTCGCAAATATATTGTATATACCCGCACAAAGTATTCTGCCGACAGTATGCCACTTCATCCCGGCAGCAAAACGCTACTTATAAATCTCAGACATAACTGCAATTTTACAGGCCATCTCTCCATCAGGGTTAAAATGAAGACTGAATTTTGGCTCGGGAGAAGACCATGGGTGTTTGTGTAGTAAATCAATACGTATTCACATCACTAAAAACCATCGCTTCGACAGGCCTGTGCAATATGCCGACGTGCATACACAATTATACTGTAAATTGGCTTATGAGGGTATTTCATGATGGTGGCTCAAGCTTCACAGGTTGCGACAAGCGTCTTCGTTATACAGGCGTCCTAGAGTATGATGGCTGAAAAAGGCGGAGACCTAGGAAAGAAATGTACACTTAGCAGGTGACAACAGTGAGTCATCTAGGGGATAGTGAATGGCCTAGCAGAGATTTCATTAAGCATAGTGATTGCTGATGCGGTACTTACTTGCATGTTTGTGCGGATCTGATGTGTACTGTGAAATCCCCTATGTACTAGCCACAGCTCTAGCGGATCCAAATAATCCTGCGATTTGAAGCGAGCACCTTACTGATACGTTTATTCTATGGGGGGATGCGACGTTCTCTGACTCTATCCAGTTTACTGACGCGAACTAAACACTAAGCCTCTCTGCGGAATTGACACTACTACATAACACGAAGGTTTGAGCTACGGCAAGACCGAGCTTAGATCCGTCGATCCGCGGACCGCTATCCGGAAGTTACTCTAGAATAGAGTGGCAAACTAGCGCCATGCATGATAATTCCGGCCCCATCCTCGCGATCCGGTAATACGGAAAACAGATAGCCTCGCCTGAAGTTTAACATCAAAGTATATACTGCACAGAGTTTGCAACCCGCAATAAATACAGACCTCTCCTAGCTACGGAAACTGTTAGTGCTGCGATGGATTCTGATACATTCCCCGAACCCCCGTCTCAAGCCATCAGTAAGTCGTCCCAAACCCCTTATTTGTCAGATCCGTATTCCGAACAGGTGCGCTAACCGGTCCGACAGACTGGTCTTCCCTTGGAAGTCAAAGCATTGAATGTATGTTGTGTCTCTCACTGAAATTTCCCCAAATATTGAACCTCTATCATCAAAGCCAATCTATATTCTGACTGATAAAGTTCCTACTTCCCATGTGGAGTGCACCTACTGTCCAACAACAGGTTCATGGGGCCCACCGACAGTGATCAATAACCCGAATCTTCAAATTAATGGCTTCGCCGTGGGAGTAAACTATGGGGGACCATATTATGAGTCCCTCACCGGTAAGTTATCTTGTCTTCCTCGTCCCACAAAAGTAATTCGAGTTTACTGATTACGGCATCTGCTAAAAGCCCAACGCACGCGAGACAACCGCATCCTTCTCTTCCGGCCCCTCGATCATGCCCGTCACTTAGCCGATGCTACAGTGGCGGTAGGCATGACGGCTATCCCCGAGCACTTGTTCCTGGCGTGTGTTAGAAAAGCAGTAGCAATCAATACTTCCTATGTACCTCCGCCCCAGACGGACGCGGTGCTTTACATCCGCCCGCTTCTGTTCGGGCCCAGCTTTCCTCGCATGCGGGATTCCCCGCCGCAGTATACTTTCTGTGTGTTTGCCCGACCGGGTGTGGTGTACCCGCGGACAGCGGCGCAAAATGCAATAGTGCTGAGTGATATTGCTGCTCATAATGTCTCCACTACAATGGAAGGCCAGAAATGCTCCAGAAATGGGATATGGGACGACGGTTGGAAAAATGGACTGGAAGTAACAGCTCAGACAGATGATCAACAGGCACAGCGAGACGTATACACTATGAAGCTTCGGCTGGAATACTCGCGACATGGGACATTTATCAATGGTTTTACGACGTCCGCGTTCCTTGGAGTGCAGGAGGAGCACGGTAGGTATACGTTGATGGTGCCGAGACATCCCAGCCGGAGCATCATTAGTAATACGTGCGTTGCGATTGCTATAGGGCTTGGGTGGAAGGTGAAGGCTGGGCCGGTATGTTTTGCGTTTAGTACATCGGCACCCTGGAAAACTCCGTTAATGCCACTTTACTACGCATGGACTAATCATGAGGAATGGCGCTGCTCTGGTGCTATTGTAGATTCCGGTCGATGACATCGACACTCTTTCCGAAGTCATTGCCACGAGCACATGGCACTTGCTGCTCCCCATTCGACTAATCTTCTGTCCGTCGGCTAAGCAGACAGTAGTGTATCAAGCTGGGTCTCAGCACGCGGGCCCTGCGTGCCGGTTGCTGCGCAATGCGATGGCAAAAATCATGGGTGGAGATGTCTCAGACATATGGCAGTGGTGTGTGCCAGTGACGCAGCAGGATCGTCATCCTGGCTGAGTGACGGAATATGAATTGGATAGCGGTAGATCTACGCACATGAGTATCCTCGCTGCCAGTTGGATTTGACCTGTGATTCCGTCCCTCTCCCCTACCCCTTAGGCAGAAACAATGTCCGGGTGGCCCTGAGTCCTGAGGGTCTAGATTTGCCCTCCTCGACCGGTGCTTACGGTCTGCGTCTTAGCAAAGCTCATGCACCCCTCGTCGGCGTTTGTTTGTTATTCCGCTCAAGCAGAAATATTTAAGCTCAATTTTTGAGATTCTGTAGATCGTATGGTATCTGGGAAGCATTGATCATTGAGTAATCAATTTTTCAATGCGTCGCGACTCACACGGCGATGACCGTGTGGCCAGCCTGTCATACTTCAGTTTGCAACTGTCCTGAATTTCCCTCCCACTGGAATACGACGGTCCTCAGTTGTGAACAATACTCGTATACGTAGTTACTCATGTGGGTAGGGCCACCGGTCGGGTTTTCGAGGTTTGGGCCATATCGGCGTCGCCAGTCGAAGGGATGCGGAGACCACTTGGGAGACCCTGAGCCAACGATTGCTGTCCAACGTAATGCAAGGTTAGTTTGTGCAATTCTTTCGCCTTCTAATCATACTGGACGAAAGGACTACCTAGTTCCCAAATATTGCTGCATGTCCGGAGAGGGAAGATATTCGCCACGTATGATCGCGGTGGGAATTTCGGCCAATTCCATACCAATAGACGAGCAAAACTGCCGGAGATCAGAAGGGGGAACGAGGGAGGAGCTGTGCTAGACCGGGCGCTGAAATAATCCAACTGTCTCGAAGAGATTTTTGTACTTATTTTTTTTACTAATGGCGCCGTGCTAGGCCAGGGTATCTGGGCCTGGAGTGGGTCATTGGGCCTGGGCTGAGACTCACGGCCAGGCCTGACCCTAAAGGGTGGCTGGCCATGGTCTTCCCAGTCCGATCTAGGTGGCGTTCGATAGTGGATGACTGGTTAGACGCAGATGTAATTCAGGGCAAGTAATTTATAATCCCTTGACCACACTCCTTCAAAAGCAGGTATGTAAATGGAATGGTGTCAATAACGTTCATGTAGTGGGGTGTGCCCGGTGATCCAAGCTGCATCGGAAATGTAACGTCGGTCCGGGGTGATTCCCTTAGTGCTGCGATCGGCACAGGACTTAAATGGATAGTCCCTTAACGGCTGTCTCACCCATACCCAGGGGCACATATCTGGGTAACTGATTCGGAGAGGTCCCAGGAAACCTGCCCATCGCACGACTGTGTGGTTCTGTGACCTTCAAAGCCCGAGGACAGACCGTGTGTGTCTGCGGCGGGACACAGATTGACCAAGAGGATATTATATTCTAAACGATTACCCGACACTCACTGTTGGCGAAAAAAAGAAAAGAAAAAGCAAACCGTTCTCACTGGCGACACGCGTGATACAGCAGACTATCTTCAAACAAACAGTGAAAATATCTGCAAGTCTGACCGAGCGCGCCAATAGCGCCGGATGGACACATTTGCCCCACCAGTCGATGCGATCCTCGCCTGTCGATCTGTTGACCATTCGATTGGTGGAAGACGACCAGGTTGGCCTCTAGTGTCAACCTCTTTGGATGGAAAGTATCTCGACCCTGCTTTGTTTCAGGGATGCACCTTTCGTCCGCTACGATCAGAGATGGGCGACACACTACTGCAGTGACTGTACCCACTGTATTCAACACGAAGAGCAGATGACGCTGGTGTTTGACATAGTGGGGCTGGCTCGGCTGAGAATTATCCCAATTAATTGTGAGCAACCAAATCCCTAGAGGGGAAGAATGAGCACTCACAGTCCGCATACTGCCCCATGTCCTCGTGGTAAAGGTAGGAGGCGACAGTCCTCGCCTTTAATAGATCTGTGGTTCATCCTTCGATTGCGTCTTTGACGAGCATCTTTGCGTGATTTTGCAGTCGACAGACACCTGCTGTGCCGAGACTGGCCCCATGAGGCATCATGAATGGAATCCGCAAGGGTATTACACGACGAAGAGGCGCCTGTGAGCCGTGCAAGGCGCGAAAGACTCGCTGTCAGTTCCTGGCGTTTGCCCCGCCTCCCGCCCTCTTCCTTATCGCCCCCTTCTGATATGGTGGATTGTGGAACGTTCCAATATCGCTGACTTCCGCCCCCTTTATCCTTCAGCTAACCAACATTTAACACTATAGGTGATGGCGGAAATCCTTGCATGCACTGTCGGGTAAGTGCTCATGTTGCCCTGCAGGTCATTTGCTACGTATTCCCTCATAGTAACAGAGCAGCTCCCAGAGAAAGGATAGCTCGTGCACCTATTTACGAGGGCCGGCATCAACAAGGTCCATCTCCACGCCTTCGCAGCTCACTCCTGCCTTGTGTTTATTTGAGCGTGACGCGGATCTGTCGTTACGGCAGTCAATCAGCCCCCAGGAATGGTTGGAGACAGTTGCTCCGGGGGCTCTAGACCTGCCCTGTTGGGACCTTCCCGATATATCTTGCAACCCTTGCCCGGACTGGTCAGCCGATGGCTCGATGCCTGGAGGTCAATCCGAATCCGAGTCGAGCCCTGCTACTCTTCCTCCCCATTACGGTGACCCATCAATGACCCGGTCGGATCACGAGCAAGGGGGTGACAGAACCTTTTCTATCCATATGGTACGGCCGCATTAGGTTGTGGGAGTAGCATTACGACCAAGGCTAATTCTTCGACAGCTGCAAAAGGAGTTTCAAAGTACGGTAATCGCCGCAACTTGGGATCACAACTGGCATGCTCATTGACTGGACAGCTCGCCAAGTAACATTGGGCTTCGACATTCCTTCGCTTTATTCCTCCCTCCCTCTGGTCGAGAGTGATCCGCCACGTGACGAAAACATAAAACGAGCTGTAGAGCTTCTCAACTGCGACATTGTAGGGGGTGACAAAACATGCTATATATTGCCCGACTGTCACAAATCAACACTGGGGCCGATGCTCGACAGTGAACCCCGAATCAGTAGCTACATCCAAGGTACGGACAAGCTAGCTCCACACGGCCCTACAGTTATGTGGGAGTACAAACGCGTTGAAACTGATAACTTACAGCATGTTTTGAATCACCCGGGTAAGTTGTCTGCGGCTTACGGGGTGCTTGACTGGATCCGGCTGATAGAATGTAGTGCCGGTGTCAATATGTTCCTGAGTATGGCAAGTGCCCAGGAGTGCGTGGACGCTGTGCTGAGGTCCGACTGCTCAAATCGAGCCACAGTGGTGGTAGCCTATGCTGTCCTGGCGCTGGGATGCTACCTTGTAAGCATACAATCGGGTATTAGGAGTGCCGTTGAAGGCATAACACGGGCCACCGGATATTTTCGTCGCGCGTTGTCTGAACTGAATTGTCTTTCCATGGATAATGCGACTGTCCGGGGGCTTCAGGTAAGTCCTTTCCCTCAGTTTTCAGGTCAACATAACTAACCGTTCCATCCAGGGAATTTTGATCATGGTGAGCCGCCTGAATAGTAAAGCAGAGGATCTTAGCATTAATCATTCCGTAGGTCATCTTCGCCGACAAGTCCGCTCATCACTCCAAGTCCCGTCTTGTTAGCCTCGGTGTCCAGTGCGTGCAAGATTTGGGACTTCACAGCTCTCGACGTCTGCGACAACTTTCCACCGGGACCGACGAAGAACGATTGCTCAAGAATGCCTTTTGGGCTCTCTATGCTATTGAAAAGGCCGATGCGGTCGGCACGGGTCGCGGTTCGGTGAGAGTCCCTCCCCGCTTACACACATAGAGAAAAGACGATTTAATATTGAAGGCTCCCAGATTATGTGCGACAAGCACACCGACCATTCGCCCAGCGATGCGCTTCAGCACCCAGATGAAGCGCGGTTGACGCTTCAATGCTTGTACGGGCGCCTCTGCGATCGTGTAATAGATTCGCTCTTTAGCCAGGCAGCCCTCCGAGTGACACGAGCTGACATGTGTCGTCAAATCGAAGATGCATATTGTCTGGTTCAAGCATGGTTGGGTATCTTCCAGACATATAACAATTCGCTCAATACGCCTGCAGGACGCTTCTCCTGCCTTGGAGAGCAGGCGGAGGCCGAGACCCATTTGAGCTCTTACTTCCTTATCTTCCTAATTCACGGAAAATGGCTCCATCTGGCCCAGCAGGGACTGGATCCTGAGGAGGCAGAGGCCTATGAGCGAAGTGAAACACGATGTCTCGCAGCTGCTCGATCGGTTTTAGAACAATGCAGCCAGCAGACCCATGTTCAGATGCTGGCGAACATGTAAGGCCATGGAAATAGCCACTTGAGAAGCTAGTCGACTAACCACGATATATAGGAGGTTTCGTTCGCTTCCCAAAATCGCGGCATGTATTCTCATTCTTACGGGGCAGTCATGCGACCGATCGGATGAGCAGAAGATGTACCTGAACATGGCGTGTGGGTTTTATAGTCGTCTTGCCATCTTCATACCAGTTCAGTTAAGTCCACTAATAGAAATGGTGGATTGGATGGATACACATACATGGCAATGACTGAGACGGGCGGATATCATTGTACGCCAACGAACATCAGTCAATGAGATACCTGTAGGACACGAGCAAGAAACATGACAATGTCATCATAACAAAAACATTAAAGAAACGTGAACAACAGTAGTCTGTCGATCACGACCCGTTCTTATCTTATCACCCCAAAGGTAAACCCACAAGGTCCTTCATTCGTTTACTCGACACGACCACATATTCTGGTTCTCACAAAGGAATTAGTCTTCAACATTTCCAGAGATTTTTGATGGTTCAACCTCTAGAAAAGAATGTTTTCATCCAGCAGCACTCCTGCATACGGGCATGCTTCTAGGGATGTGACCATAACACGGAGGATGTAGGACCTACCACTGTAGAAAAGTCCTTGAGATGCCACCACTAATACCTTACAACCAGAGCCGATTTTCGGGTCCTCCCTCTTCTCACCATCGGCTTCGCAACCTACCAGATCGACCGGACCAACATCGCCAGTGCTCTAACTGGAGGTTTCGCATCGGACATTGGGATAGGCCAAGACATGATTAACTTGGGAAATCAGCTGATGTTCTTGGGCGTGATTATCCTGGAAATACCATCCAATATGGTTCTACAGAAGGTAATGATCTTACACTGTCCCCAGAGACATGAGATATGAAGCTAAATAAGCCCAATTGAATGTGTACTAGGTGGGGCCCCGCTGCTGGATCAGCTCCCAAGTGTGCATCTTCGGCGTCATTGCCGCACTGCAGATCTTCATTCGGAACAAGACTGGTTTCTTGCTTACGCGAAGCATCTTGGGTTTCTCGGAGGCGGGGTATATCCCGGCTGCTATGTATACCCTTTCGACATGGTATACGAGAGAAGAATTGACCAAACGCATCGCGGTTTTCTTTTTCGGAATGTTTGGGGGTGCTGCGGTCTCGCCGTTACTTGGTGCTGCGTTGCTCAAGTTAGATGGGAAGGGGGAGTTGCATGGTTGGCAGTGGATTTTCTTACGTGAGACATCTAGTTCCTCGCGATTAAGCATTGTTGAACCGTACTGATATCCATAGTCGAAGGAATATGGTCAGTCCTTATGGCGATCGCTTTGTTCATGCTACTGCCGGAGAGAGAAAGCATTACTGCTGAGAATTCTGATGAAGAGTCTGCCGGCAAATGTCAATCATGGAACGGGCCCACCTCGAAAACACTGCCTGTCAAGGTAGTATGGCAAACGCTAACAAACTATACCAAGTGGCCTCATTTTCTCGCCACGGCATGTGTCTTCGCAACGTGGAGTCCCCTCACTACGTATACCCCGACGATCATCATGTCATTGGGGTTTTCTCGTATCCAGGCAAACGCTCTCGCCGCGATAGGGAGCTTGCTTACACTGCCTGTCATTGTCTTTTTCGCTTGTCTGAGTGATTGGTCACGCCGTCGAGGGATGAGCGTTATGCTCGCAATTGCTTTCTATCTTGTTTCGCTTATTCTGCTGCGGGTTTTGCAGGCGCGCGTCGATAGATGGGGACGGTTTGGCCTCTGGACGACTGTTAATGGGCTGGCTGTCGGGTATCATCCGGTTCATAACGCGTGGATTCAGGTTAATTGCTCAAATCCTGGGGAGAGGAGCGTTAGTGTGGCGTGAGTTCATTGTTCGTGTTTTACATCCTGCAATATTTACTAACCAGATGGGTAGGATGTGTACGTTAACAGTGTTTCTGAAGATCGGATGTGCGAACGCTGACTGTGATTTATAGTTGTCATGTCTGCCACGGCTGGTCTCATGGCTGGGACGCAGATCTTCCGACATGATGATGGCTTGAATGGGTAAGTCGTCATTAGGTAACATATGGAACTACATGAACTGATGAGACCGATATAGCTATCCCAGGGGAATACTAATCATGATAATCTTGGTTTTCTCTGGCTTAATCTTGGTTGCTATCCAAAGCGCAATATACCGGGGACTCAATCGTTTTAGCAAGAGTCATATAGCCCAGGAGACCTGATGGATCAGCCTCGAAAACCAAACATTCCAAATTATCTGCTAAGCCCACAAGAGCAACCTCTACACAACCTCATTCCCTCCACTCTCGATATTTTCCTGCTCTTCCCTCTTCGCCACCGTCTTAACCGACTTCCACTCTGGCACAAACGTAGCTAAAACCGCCACCGCCGCCAACGCAACCGAGATATAAAACGTCTTCACCACCGCACCATTATACGCCTCCAATGACTCTCCCAAATACTTCGGGGGCACTAAGTTCCTAACCTCTGTCGCTCCCGCAGCGGCTACACTGCTCGCATCTACACCCGGAATATTCCTACCTGTCAATCTCTTCACCAGCTCATGCTGAAACAAATTCTGCGCCACAATAAGGAAGACAGCACCACCCAGCGTCTGATAGAATATCATAAGTGCTGTACCAACGGGAACGTCTTCTGAGGGCAGCGAAGCCTGCATAGCGAGGACGGTTTGCTGCGCGCCCATACCAATCCCGGCGCCCATAATAACTTGGTATCCGGCCCATTTTACGGTCCCCGTGTCCGGAGTGAATGTCGTCATGAGGGCAGCGCTAATGAGCACCAGAATACAGCCCATGATCATAGTAGGAGTGTAGTACCCCATGGCGGAGACTAGGGCACCGCTGGGAATGGAGAGCACGATAAGCGATACGAGCATGGGGAGGTTCATGATTCCCGACCGTACGGCGGAGACACCTTTGATTACTTGGAACCAGATTGGAAGCTGTGGGGAACAGACGTCTGTTAGTATGGGGAAAAACTATGTTATTGTTGTTATGGAGCGGATGCATGATGAAGAGGACTTGCATAATAAACGAGAATATAGAATGCGGCTCCAAGCATAGCGCTATAGAGGCCGCAGCTCCAGACATTGCGGTTCCCAGCTACTCGTGGTGGGATCATTGCCATTTCTTTCTTCCTGCTCTGCACTATGCAGAAGACAATTAAGGTGACGCCGAAGATCACGAACAGGGCGACGATGCGCCCGTTGCTCCAGGACCATTTTGCCCCGCCCCATTCGATAGCAAGGAGAAGGCAGATAATGCTTGCACTGAAGAGTACCGTGCCTTCAATATCGAGCTGGATGAGGCGTTGCTTTAGTGGGCTACCCTTCATAGCGTCAGGGACGAAGGTAGGAGGTGGTGCATGGAATAGGAAAAGGATAGCCACGGCGCCGACTCCGCCCAGGGAGAGATTAATGTAGAAGCACCATCGCCAGGAGACTTTGTCCGTGAAAGCCCCGCCCAATCTATGATTGTTTTGTTCGTCAGCATTGAACTGTATACTCTACTGGAGACGCAGGTCGAGGAAAGGGAAATATCTGACAATGGCCCAGCCACGGCTGCAGCACCCTTCAACCCTCCCAAAATACCTAAAGCTGTTGCCTGCAACTGCAAAGACATACTAGCAGCAATGAGTAAGATGGTGCCCGAAAGAAGTCCCGCCGCGCCTATTCCTGTGATAGCCCGTCCAAGTATCAAGCCAACCGAGGTGGGAGTTGCCGCTGACACTACGGACCCGATTTCAAAGATTACCAGATTTATCATGTAAACCCATTTAATAGAGAACATGGTGCAAAGCCGACCGTGGAGGATCTGCGTGGCGCACATGGTCAGTAAATAGACTGAGCTGTACCATCCCATATCGTTGAGGGAATGGAAATCGTCCGTGATGACGGGGAGAGCAGGTGCCAGCATCGTGTTGTCCTGCCATAGTATCAACGCATTAGCCCTGCGTTTGTGTAACCGAGATTTCTGAAGCAGAATAAATATGAAAGAATACCAGGGCAACTGCAAACATCACCAGATACAATGCCAATAGTATCGCAATCTGGCGCCATTTTGTCGGTGCGCTCGTGTAGGTGGGAGTTTCGTGCGCGATTTTCTCGGTGTCACTAGCCCTGTCCTCAACGCCGGGGGAATTTGCTGCAGAGACCGACATATTCTGAGAATATAGAATTGTGCTGAAAATGTGCAGTGGTCCCTTTCCAAATGATCATATACGATGGGGTGATCTGGTGTTTGTCGTCTGTGGAGCGGATTTCCGGCCGGACTCGGACCTGCAGCTCGGTCCACAGATGGAAATTAATTGACGCACTATCACCAACCGGACCGGAATGGCTTCGCCACATACAACATGAGTTCAACCCGCGGAACAGCTGAAGTCTCAATCCACTTCGCTTTGTGTTAAATTGTTCCGATAATACGTGTAACTGCGTACATAAGAAATCCAGGAGACACCCCAATCTCCCCACGCATCCTGCACCACTGCTAAGGCCAGTCTACACAACCCCTGAATACTTCGCTACTGTCCCTGAGAGTGCTCCATCGTCAACTGCACCGCAACTGCTGAAGCCACAAACGTGGCATTGCTAGCAGCATTGGGAACGTCCTTCGCCACGGAGGCATGATCCCCCGCCACAAACACCCCCGGCACCGTGGTCTCCATCGTGACATCCTTTTGCTTATAAATCCCACTTTCATCCAGCTCCAGTCCCAGCTGGCTGCTCCAATCATTTGTCACGACTGTATCCGGCATATGCGTGAGAAATCCCATATCTACATAGCTGTTAGGAATATCACTTCCGTCTGGCTGTCCCAGCCAGACTCGCAGGATGTCTCGCGAATCCTCAGCAGCCGACACAACTCGTTCAAATGAACAAATCGGGCGAGATTCAATAGTAAATCCTCGCGCTTCCGCACCGGCCTGCTGTAGGGCGACCGTAGTCTCTTCATTGCCATGTGTGAATAATGTTACTTCCTCGGCGAAACGACGAACCATCTGCCCGAGGATCAGGCCCACAGAGGGATTGGCGTGTAGTTGTGAGCTCTCTGCTACAAGTAGGCCTGCATTCGGTGCGCCACGCTCTTCATACCCATGGCAGAACAGGCAGTGGAAGATGAGCTGGCCCCAGTTCCCAGCGTACCCCTCAATGGCAGGCATGATGTCGCGTATTCCCGTAGCGAGAACAAGTTTTGAGCCCTGATATGCAGTTCCATCTTCATCAGTAATTTCGAAGCGTGTTCCTACCCCGTCGTGGGGTAGCTTGCGCGCTTGGGTGATTTTCTTGTTGATGATGGTATTGGTGGTGTATCGATGCAAGAGGGTGTCGTGGATGGCGGAGCGGAAACGTGCAGGTTCCACATGCTAACGGCAACGCAGGAGTAGTTAGCATGTTGCATGCCGGACAGGTAAGAGACGGAATTAACTTACATCAAATCCGAGGACATTGTGCATATGGGACGTCTGGCGGTTGCGATACTCCTGACTGTCGAACAGAAGTACCGAATGGAGCTTGCGGGATAGCGCCAGGGCCGTGGCGAGGCCCGCGGGACCGCCTCCGATGATGAGCACGTCGGCTGTGGTGGCCATGCTTATTTCCCGTTTGCAGTTCCTCTTCTCCTTGATAGCTGCGGAATGGAATAAATTAAGCTAATCAACATCTTGAAGGGTGCGAAAACAAGAGGGGATCGTAAAGTCCGTTAAGTAGGGCTTCAGTCCGGTTTGGGATCTCGGACCGCGGATTACCGTCACGTTACAGTTGTTCTCCACTATTTTCCGGCGTGATTCCGATGCAACTTCGCTTTCAGCTCTGCACCAACGGAATTCATATTGGCTCGTTTTATTAGCCAGAGTGTCTAGTCAACTGCAGCTCAGCCGCAGATCCGATTCTATCCTGTTTGCTTACCCTGGTTGGTATTGCGTTAGTGGCACGGACGCCGACAGCTGGATAACCGGTTATAGTAGTATCAAGTGATGAATAATTATATATAGTGCGAATAAGTACATGAACTACATTATGAGAGTGACCATTGGGAAATTCATTTTCAGCACCCAAGAGCTTCATCCTTTTCTTGGTCGTATTCTGTGACGTCTTCGACTGCAACATGAGTCGCTTTTCTTGCATCTTCCCTACCCTAACGGATGGGTATGTCCCAAATCTAGATCAAACTCGTGCCGCAGGTCGGCGAACATACACGATCGACCGGAGAGGATGGACCGCCCCAAGCAGTCAGACAGAATCGCACATCCTAGCAGCCTGGGGCCTTGTTCTATCCAGCTACGTAGGCACCGATGAAGTGGCTTTCTACATTGTGCCAACGACTGGTCCGGACACAACAGCATTGGCTGAATTGAAGGTCGAGGGAGACATGTCTCGCCGGTCCCTCATCAACGCTGCCGAGCAGTTGTTGCACCCAGGACCCGTGGGTGCCGGCCAGGTGTCTGGGGAGTCTGCCAATACGATAATCACCTTTGAGAAGGATATTGAGTCGTTATTTGTTACTCAGGCCGAGGTACGCGCGTCGCCACCCCGTATTACAGTGGCCTACCTGGGCTTGTGGAAAATAACGGGCATCTAGGAGTCCTTCCTATCGTTACATGTTCATCATGATGGGCAAGGGCAGGTCTATCTTTCTCTTACCTACCACCTATCGCTCTTGACCGACGCGCAGGCAGCAAATGTGGGCACTGCGATGGCCCAGGCGCTCGCCGAGGTGGGGGCAGACGACCACAATAGGTTAATCAAGAACCTCAATCTCATGAGCCCGACACACCTGGAAAGCATCTGGCAGTTTAATGCCAATGTTCCCGGTATGTGGGAGGAGTGCTTTCATGATGTGATTGAGCGTCGCGCCGCGAATCGCCCACACTCCCTGGCGGTCGATGCCTGGGATATGAAGCTCACCTACGCCGACCTCGTAAGGGAGGCACGTCTGCTCGCCGCATACCTGCAGCACCGCGGCGTGCGTCCAGGATCCGTGGTCCCCATTTCATTCGAACGGTCGGGAGCAGCTCTGGTTGCCATGCTGGCTGTGTCCAAGGCCGGCGGAGCCTTTGTCAGTGTGCCACCGACTCTCCCTGCTGGACGACTCGACGCCATTCTGGAAGTCATCGAAGCACCGTTTGTGGTAACTTGGTCGAAGTACGAACCATTCTGGGCCGAACGCCTCCCTACGCTCCCTATAGACAGCTATCCCAAGCCATCTGCAGATGCGACGGTGAAAACCCTCGGAAAGCCCGAGGACCTTTTCTATGTAATTTTCACTAGCGGTTCGACAGGCCGGCCGAAAGGCTGCATGCTGTCCCACTCGAACTGGCTGAACGGCGCGCTTCGTAACGCTCCTAGTTGGAAGTATGGTCCCGAGAGCCGTGTCCTGCAAATGCTGAGCCACACCTTCGACATGAGTCTGCTGGAGATCTGCACCAGTCTGGGATCCGGGGCCTGCGTGTGTGTGCCACGCACAGAGGAAATCGAAACCAGCGTCTCCGATGCCATCAACAGGTGGCAGGTTAATCATGTTATCATGACACCTTCACTTGCCCGCTCCTTGAGACGCGACGACGTGCCCGGGCTGAAGACAATGTGCCTTGGTGGTGAAGCCTTCCCCAGGGAGATTGTCACCATGTGGTCCGAGCGGATTAATCTGTGGCAATTCTACGGCCCCAGCGAGTGCTCAATTAACTCGTCATCGCGGCCAATCACACGGCCCGATGCGGATCCGTTGAATATCGGTCCTCCCAACTCGGCTGCTTGCTGGGTAGTAGATACTCAAGATTACAATAAACTGGTTCCCGTTGGTGCTATTGGAGAGCTACTTGTTTCTGGACCTATTGTCGGCATGGGATATCTCAAAAATCCCATTAAGACAGCCGAGGCTTTCCTTGATGAAGTCGGGTTCGTGGCGAAGGATGATCCCCAGTTTGGTGGATTCCGGTTTTACCGAACAGGTGATCTCGTGCGGTGGAACTCGGACGGTACTATCACTTTCTGCGGCCGTGCTGATACGCAAGTCAAGCTTAATGGCCAGCGACTTGAACTGGCCGAGGTGGAATATCAGCTGGGGCTGGAAGCTGGCGTTCAGTATGCCATTGCAATGGCACCTCAATCTGGTCGGTGCAAGAACAATCTGATTGCTGTTCTCACCGTCAAGTGCGGCGGCGCTAGCAACCAGGGTAATGCTGACGACGAAATCCCACTGCTGGACCGCCACGATCCGATTGTCCAGCAGACCGTTAAGAAGCTGCGTTCGCAACTTCAGCACGCTCTGCCGCGGTATATGGTGCCCACCATCTGGGCGTTCGTTGGGCGCATGCCCATGTCACCGTCTGGCAAGATTGATCGCGTACAACTGAGGAACTGGGTGCAAGAGATGAGCCAGGAGACGTTCGACGCAATCACCGGTCGAAGTTTCGAGGCGGAAGATCATGTTCTCGGCCTCAGCCAGCTAGAGCAGGAGATCCAGCTCGCCTGGGCCGAAGCTCTGGGTCTCTCCGCCGCTGAGGTGGGCTTGCAGCAGCCATTTGTCGCGCTAGGCGGGGATTCCATCAAGGCCCTCGATGCCGTAGCTAGATGTCGGGCTCGTCAGATCAAGATTAGCATGGTGCATATCTTGTCTTGCGAAGGCGTCCGAGAGGCTTCCTCGCTGGCAGAAGTGCAGGAGACCCCTGCTCATCAGGTGGCCGAGATCGCGGTGGATTACTCGGATCTGTGGACCCGTCTGTCCACTGAATATGACATTAGCAAGCTGGGCGTCACGCAGGTTGAAGAGGTGGAGGATGTCTTCCCCTGCACAACCATGCAAGAGGGCATGTTCCTCGGCCAGATCCGTCGGCCTGGAGCCTACCACATGCGTTTTTTCCACCGCGTTCAGCTGAAGGGTGGTTCCCTACCGACCGTTGAACGCATCCAGCAGGCCTGGGCCTCCCTTGTCGAGAGACATCCTTCATTACGCACAGTCTTCGTGGATGATCTGTCCTCAGAGGCCATTTATCATTCGGTCGTGCTGCGGTCCGTGCCGATGGAGCTTACAATGCGTGAGGTGCCGCGAGACCTCAACCCCGAATCGGCCCTCGCTATGTTCACGGAGGAGCTCGTGCCCTTTCGTCCTAATGCCCCATTACATCGCATGCTTCTGCTGACCTGCCGCGGACGCGTCCCATATCTTATGCTGGAAATTTCTCACGTCATCATGGACGGCTATGCGCTGTCGGTTTTCCGACGCGAGTTCATCCGCGCCTGCTCCTCCACTGCCTCCCTGCCGCGAGGCCCAGACTACCGCATGTTTGCCAACTACCATCGCACACGACAAACCGACGAGAGTGCAAAGTATTGGACAAATTACCTAGCCGACTGTGTGCCATGCCACATCCCTACGGATCCGTTGAGTGTGCCGACGGATGCCTCCCCTGAATGGCCTCGGACGCTGCAGCGCCGCGACTTTGGCTTCGACAACAGCGTAGCGTTCCTGCAGCGATGCAAAGAGCGCCAGGTTACACTCGCTTGTGCGATCCGCGCTGCCTGGGCGCTGGTGCTACGCGCCTACACCCAATCACGGGATGTTTGCTTCGGCTACGTCTCCTCCGGGCGCAACGTGCCGGTGCCCGAGGTCGAGACTATTTTTGGTTTGTGTCTCAGTATGCAGGTCTGTCGCGCAAAGCTAAGCGAGGCTTCCACAATCGCTAGCCTCGCTAGGAAGATCCAGGAGGATTATGTTGCTAGCTTGCCATTCCAGCACTACCCATTGGCAGAGGCACAACGCGGGCTGAAGCAAACACATGGACAGGGGCTGTTCAACACGGCGATCTCCATGGAATGGGTGCCTCCGACAGCGGAGGATGAGGATGCCTTGCTGGATTTGGAGGAGATTCGTGAACAGGATGACCCGACTGAGGTGAGTTCAAAATCCAACCGTCAAGACTTACCTTACTGATGGCGTGTGACGCTGCATAGTACGACATCGCCATCAGTGTGGATATCCACGAAGGCCACATCAAACTGGGCTTCCTCTATTGGCCCAACTTGAGCGACTTCCAGATTACCCATCTCGCCGAGGCCCTCCAGGGTGCCATGAACTGCTTTGCCTTTCAGCCAGACGTGGCCCTGAACACTCTCACTCTTCTGCAGGCCAGTGATTTGTGCTCCACCCTAACTAACGGACCTACCCTGCTGCCTCTAGAAGCCGTCCGCGGCAACGTGATATCGATGATAGACCGCTGGGTGACCCGCCAGCCGGAGAGCCCTGCCATCGACGGCTGGGATGGATCCCTGACCTACAAGCAACTGCACGAGCAATCCTCCTGGGTGGCTCGCAATCTGCTTCATCAAGGGGTAAAATTGGGAGACCGCATCCTGGTGTGTGCAGACCGGTCAAGTCGCACTGTGGTAACAATTCTAGGCGTCGTGCGGGCAGGATGCGTGCTGGTGCTCTCGAACCCGACGGACCCGGAAAAGCGCCTGCAGTGGCTGGCACACAAGTGCAATGCTACCCTGGTCGTTGCTGATCCTGCATACGAAGAGCGGTTTGCGACTTCCGGTGCTCGTGTATTTTCAACAACCTCCGTTTGTGCCCCCGCAGCCTGGGACTACGAGTTCTCAGCTCTGGACGATCAGGACCTTGTCAGCATCCTCTTTACCTCCGGCAGCACCGGCACCCCGAAAGGCATATTGATGGACCATGGGGCACTCGCGACCAGTGTTCTCCTGGGCCATGGCCGCACGTTACGCTTCTCACGCCACACCCGCATGCTGCATTTTGCCTCCCTAACTTTTGACGCCGCTCTGGCGGAGATCTTTACCACCTTGGCACATGGTGGGTGTATCTGCGTGCCGTGTGAGGAAGACCGTCTCTCTGACGTGTCGGGTTGTATCTCCCGCTTTGCGGTCAACACCGCTATGCTGACACCCTCCGTCGGGCGGCTGCTGGATCCCGAGGCTCTGCCAACGCTGAAGGCTCTGGCCATGATCGGCGAACCGATGTCCCGGTTGGATGTTGAGCGGTTCGCCCCGGTACTTGACCTCTACAATGGTGCAGGACCTACGGAAACATCCATAATGGTAACAATTGCCGGGCCGATGAAACCGACTGATGAGCCAGTGAATCTGGGTTATGCCGTGGCCGGCGTTAGGCTGTGGGTGACTGAGGCTGAGAACCCTAATCGCCTGGCTCCGTTGGGAGCAGTCGGAGAGTTGATCGTCGAGGGCCGCTTGGTCACTCGCGGATACCTGGATGATCCAGCACGCACTAGGGAGTCTTTCCTTCCCAATTTACCATGGCTTCCGTCTCAGCATGCCTTGTACCGAACAGGCGATTTGGTGCGCTATGCGGAAGATGGCAGCTTGCGGTATATGGGACGGAAGGACACGCAGGTCAAGTTGCGTGGACAACGCATTGAGCTACAAGAGGTCGAGTATCATCTGCGAAAGAGCTTACAGCAGGCACAGGTTGTGGTGGAGATGGTCATTCCAGAGGGGAAAATTCGTGCTCAGGCAAGCTTAGTGGCTTTTGTCAGTGGTTTGACAGCGGCAGATGTTGAGTCGTCTTCGGCGCGTAACTTTGACCAGTCGATGCCCATGTCACAAATCGCCTTGCCCGGCAGTACGATCCAAGCGCTTGAGGAAGCCCTGCCTCGCTATATGATCCCGTCGGTGTATTTCGCCCTGGACACGATCCCGCTCTCAGTCAACGGCAAGGCAGATCGGCGAAGACTGCGTGAGATAGGTGCCGCGCTGCTGGTATCCAGTACCGCCCATAAGAACACTGTTGATGGAAAGAGCGAGCCTGTCAAATGGACAGCATCTTCGAAATTGGAGCTGACACTGTTGGAATTGTGGACTACGACACTTGGACTTGAGGCTGAAACAATCTATGGCGATGATAGCTTCTTTGAATTAGGCGGCGACTCTGTTTCTGCCATGAAGCTGGTGGCCACGGCTCGGGATAGATTCAAGCTGTCGTTGAGTGTTCCTCAAATGTTCAGACACCCCACTATTCATCAGCTTGCCGCCATACTTGGGGAGGCCACTGGGCAGCCAGAAAGCTCAGCTTCGTCCACGACTGAGGAAGGATTCACATTCAGCACGCCAGATGACTCCTCCACCAATGACGGGGTCGATGACGATTTTCTACGGCTGGCCACCGCTCAGCTTGCCCAACTGGCGCAAGAGAAGGGTAAGAAGGTGGATATTGCTGCTCTTCTAAAGCAGCTGCAAGGCGGTTCCTCTTCCTGTAAGACCCCATCCGTGTCTTCCTCCTCATCATCGTCGTCGTCGAGGAAGAAGAAGTCAGCCAAAGTGGTGTCCCCAGTCGAAGCACCTGCTCCTGTCCCAGTGCCATTTTCCTTGTTGGATGGCGGCGCTGATGTTGTAGAGAAGATTCGTGCACAGGCCGTGGAGCAGTGCAAGATCCTACCCGGGGATATTGAAGATATTTATCCCGCCACCGCTCTACAGGAGGGGATGATGGCGCTGATGGCCAGGACACCCGGGGTTTATACAACAACTTTAACATGTGAGCTCCCTGAGCGGGTTAATCTTGCACGGCTGCACTCCGCATGGGATAAAGCTGCCGAGGCGCATCCAATTTTGCGGACGCGGATTATCCTCACCGAAAACAACACGGCAGTGCAGGTTGTGCAGCGTGCGAAAGAGCTTCCATGGGATGCCTATTCCCTTCAGGATGGCGACCCTCTGCCAGACCTAACGTCGAACATGACCCTTGGTTCTACCCTTCTGCGCCTAGCTGAGATACACCGGCAAAACCAGCCTCGGATGCTGCTGGTGGCCATTCATCACGCTCTCTACGACGGATGGTCAATGCCACTGCTCAAACAGGCAGTTGAGGATGTCTATCATGGACAGGAGTTGTGGCCACAGCCCTTCACCCCATTCATTAATTACCTAAATGAGGGAAAGCCGGCGGCACAAGGCTACTGGACCGCCCACCTGGACGGCTTCGCAGGAAGCGTCTTCCCTAATTTGCCTAGCATAAACCACCATATCCAGCCGACGGAGCGTCGAACCCGCTCACTGGCCGTGCCGACAGCGCCCCCCGGATCGCAGTATACTATGGCGACAAAAATCCAAGCAGCGTGGGCTGTCACGGTTTCGCGATATGCAGAGGCTGAGGACATTGTCTTTGGTACCGTTAGTACCGGTCGTTCGGCACCTGTGCCGTCGATTGATCGCATGGTCGGTCCCACCATCACGACTGTGCCTGTTCGCATCTCGCTCGGCAACCAGGCAGAGCGTCTCACCTCACTGCTGCAGAGGGTCCAAGAGGATGGCTGGAACAGGATGGATCATGAACACCTGGGCCTCCAGCACATCCGCCGTCTCGGTGAATCTGCTGCTGCTGCTTGTAACCTCCAGACGCTGTTAGTAATTCAGCCTCGTGAAGAGCCTCGTGCCAAATCCATTTCCACCTTACTTTCAGGATTGCAAGACGTGGCTGAACTCAAGGGCGTGGATACGTATCCGCTAATGTTGGTGTGCGAGCCTGATGGTGTCAGTCTGCATTTGACTGCCGTGTTTGATCCAGCCGTCCTGGACGCAGTCATGCTGGACCGGATGCTTGCTCATTGGGAGCTCGTTCTAAATCAAATATGGAGTGAGCCGGACATGGCAGTGATGGGGCTTGATGGCGTATCATACAGGGATAAGCAGACATTGGTAAGATGGAATGCTGGAGAAAAGATTGCTGATGGATGTGCCCATGACGCGGTGTATGAGTGGAGTGTCCGCACCCCTCATGCACCCGCTGTCTTCGCTTGGGATGGTAAATGGACCTACGAGGAACTGGAGAAGTGCTCCTCTCTCATAGCCAGTCAGGTCCTAGTCCATGGTGTCTCCTCCGGAGACTTTGTTGCTCTTTACCACGAGAAGTCTCGATGGGCGGCGGCCGCAATTCTCGCGGTGTTCAAAGCCGGCGGCATCCTGGTTACCTTGGACCCGGCCCATCCCAAAGACAGAATCAAGGATATCCTGGATCAAGCACGGCCGCGACTCGTACTGACCTCTCAGTCTCTCCTCGATGAGGCTAGAGAACTTGAGACCCCGGTCATGGTTGTACAGTTCGCAGCATCCCAACCAATGCCCGGAGAATGCTTCCCTCTACCCACAGTAAGCCCCACCCAGGCTGCATATGCTCCGTTTACCTCTGGATCTACAGGTCGACCAAAAGGGATTCCATTAGAGCATCGGGGACTGGCTGCTTCAACTGCTTCAGTAGCTCGTGCCTGCCTACTGCGCCCAGCATCCCGAGTCCTTCATTTTGCCAGCTTCGCCTTTGATGCCAGTATGATGGAGCACCTGATAGCCTGGCACGCCGGCAGCTGTCTCTGTATCCCGGTTGAAACTGTCAGGCAGACGGATCTGGCCAGGTGCATACGAGACTTCGAAGTTACTTGGGCTTTTCTCACACCTTCATGCCTACGGCTAATCTCCCCCGATGATGTTCAGTCCCTTGAAGCCCTGGGTCTAGGTGGTGAGTCTATGACGCCCGAGGATATTTTCATCTGGGGTCCGCGACTCCGCCAGATTGTCCAGCTATACGGCCCGGCGGAGTGTTCCATTGTGGCCGCGTTGACAGAAGTTACCAAGCCATCGGAGAACCGATTGATAGGGAGACCCAATGCCTGTCGATGCTGGGTAGTTGACCCACACAGCCCAGATCGCCTAGCGCCCCTAGGTGCTGTCGGAGAGCTGGTAATTGAGGGGATCACTGTCGGTCGGGGTTATATTGACGATCCCGAGCGAACCACCCAAGCATTTATACCACCCCCTACATGGATTCAAACACTGTATCCGAATGAGCAACAGCCAAGTCGCCTCTATCGGACCGGTGATCTCGTACGGTATGCTGGTACGGACGGGAAGCTGACCTTCATCGGGCGAAGGGACGGCCAACTCAAGCTTCACGGACAACGTATAGAGTTGGCGGACGTCGAAGCTCACCTCCGTCCTCTAATACCCGGCACGCAGAAGGTTGTTGTAGAGATGGTTCACAGTGTGGGCAACCACCACCCCCTTTTAGCTGCCTTTGTGGAAGAAATATTGACATCACAAGATCAAGTGGAGCAAGTGGTTAATCTATTGCACCCAAGTCAAACCCAATGTGCCCTGAATGTCAAGGCCATCGATAGTGCACTGTCCCAAACGGTTCCCCAATACATGATTCCTAGCATGTATCTACATATCTCCCGCCTGCCCCTAAGCGCATCTGGAAAGCTCAACCGTCGCCACCTGCGTAGGTTGGTCGCAGAGTTTCCACGTCAGAGACTCAGTGAATACGCTGCTGGATCAGGCCTCGCAGTCCCGAACCGGCCGGCAACAGCTCAGGAGCGTGAAATGCAGGCTATCTGGGCGCGAGTATTGTCAGTTGACCCGGACACAATCGGAGTCAACGAAGACTTTTTCCGCATCGGCGGCGACTCCATTTCCGGGATGCAGGTTGCCACGAGATGCAATGCGGCAGGCATGCATATCACCAGTGCGGATCTCTTCCAACACCGTACCATCGAGCAACTGATGCGCCATCTTAGTGCTAATGGAAAGACTGGCTCCGCGTCAATCTCACTACCTCCAGAGCCGGTGGACGAGTGGGTTCCTCTTGCCCCCATCCAGCAACTCTTCTTCGAAATCGCCCCACAGGGTCCAGATCACTTCAACCAGAGCCTGCTCCTGCGCACTAGCCGCCGGGTCAGTGCAGAAAAACTCGCCGGAGGCCTAGATATTCTCGTGGGACGACATTCTATGCTACGCGCGAGATTTTGTCGCGATGATTCCGGCCAATGGTCCCAGCAGGTAAGGTCGCGCGGCCCGTACCCTGCTAGTGCATTTTACCGGTTGACCACACACAACCACATCGCTCCTGAGTTGCTGTCGTCACTTCTTGCTGCGTCTCAGATGGCCTTGTCTATTCAAGAGGGGCCGCTCTTAGCCGTTGATCTGGTGAATTTGACGGACGATACTCAGCTCGTCTACTTGGTGGCCCATCATCTCATTATCGACCTGGTCTCGTGGCGCATCTTGCACGCGGAATTGGAGGAATATCTGCAGACGGGCTCCTTCGCGTCCACCACAGGCTCTGTCCCCTTCTTGACCTGGAGTCGAGCACAGGCCGAATACAGCGCTAATCACCTTACTCCCACACTTCCTCTACCTGGCTTCCAGGAAGCAAACGATGGCTTCGATGCCTCGAGGTACTGGGGGATTTCTTGCGAGTCGAACACATTCGGGCAAACCTCCACTTCCACGTTCACCTTGGACCAGACTGTGACCGACCAACTCTTCGGCCCCGCTAACAACGTGCTTGATACTCGACCAGCTGAAATTTTGCAAGCTGCCCTCTGGTACTCTTTCACTCAATCTCTCACCGACCGTCCGGGTCCCAGCATCTACGTTGAAGGTCACGGGCGAGAACCGTGGACGGGTTCCATTGACCTTTCGGGAACGGTCGGTTGGTTTACAACCATGTCTCCGCTAGTGTCCGCTCCGTGGGATAGCCTATCACAGACATCGATGCGGGACTTCCTCGATGCGCTCAGCTATATCAAGGACCAGCGCCGACGCATTCCGGCTAACGGATGGGCGTACTTCACCTCACGATATTTGAACGACGAAGGCAAGGTCGCGTATGGGCGCATGAAGCCGGTCGTGGAAATTCTGTTTAACTATATGGGCCAGTACCAGGAGATGAACCGTGAGGACGCCATACTACAGCTGGCTGGCGATGGCATCCAGTCCGGTACCGGTGCTGCAGACGTTGCGGACAACGTACCACGCTTTTCGTTGATCGACGTTAGCGCGTTCATCTCGAACGGATGTCTAACCTTCCAGTTTATACTCCCTAAATCTTTGCAGCAGGACTCTCGACTGCAAGGGTGTTTTCAGGAATATGAACGCACTCTCGTCGCCGCTGCTAATTCACTGTCAACTGAGGGCCCCCGCAAAACATTGGCCGACTTTCCCCTTATGCCTGCACTCACATACGATCAGCTAAGCCAGTGCCTTGATCATACGCTGCCTTCGATGGGTTTGTGTGCCCGTGACGTTGTGGACATCTATCCCTGCTCCCCTGTGCAACAGGGAATGTTGTTGGCCCAGCTGCGCGATCGACAGGCATATCAGCAACGATTCAGATTCCAGGTTAAGTCTCGCGGGTCAACAGACCGACTCACATTAGAAAAGCTGAAGGACGCTTGGACTGAAGTGATCAACCGGCATGACATCCTCCGTACTCTCCTTCTACCAGTTTCGGATTACAGCCACTTGGACCAAGTAGTCATGGCCCCTGGCAGTCTTCAACATCTGGTTCGGATTAATGCGATGGACACCAATCCCACACAGGGCCTACCACACTCGATTAACATCACCAGCGACTCAACCGGCACTGTAATTTGCGAGTGGAATGTCAGTCACGCCTTGGTCGATGCCATGTCGATTGCGGTCATTCAACAGGAGGTCAATGAGGCGCTGGAAGGGTCGCTGGGTCAGCATCAAAAAACACCGCGATACGCAGATTACATCCAATGGCTTTCTCTGCAAGACAACACCGAGACACAGGCGTATTGGAAAAAGTACCTCGAGGGAGTGGAGCCATGTCTCTTTCCAAAATTGGCTTCTTCGACTGACAAAGTCAACCCGGAAGGTACCATTTCTGCCATTCGTGCCACCTGGACCCGCGATTCGCGGTTGGACAAGCTATGCCATACGCACGGTATCACATTGACAAACCTATTCCACATTGTCTGGTCCCTTCTTCTCAGCGCCTATCTAGGCACTGATAAGGTTTGCTTCGGCTATACGACCCTTGGTCGAGATGTGCCTGTCGACGGGGTAGAGAAGATGGTCGGCCCTCTAGTCAATGTTATTGCCACAACCATCCAACTTCAAGAGGACGATTCGATCTTGGATGCACTTCTCACTCATCAAACCCATCTCTCAAATAGTCTCCAACACCAGCATTATGCGTTGGCAGACGTGTATGCCTCTTTAGGTCTGGTCGGTTCTCAGCTGTTCAACACTATCGTGTCTTTGCAGGATATATCTCACTTCGATGCCAACGACGAGCGGCCGACCAGGGTCGAAATGCTCCCTGCAAATGACGTCTCAGAGGTATGTCCCAGAGCGATAGTCTACGAAACTCTCCATCTTTAATGACGCTAACCTTTACTACAGTATGATGTGGCTCTCAATATCGGTGTCGATCAATCTTCCATTCAAGTGGTCTGCAGCTACCGAACACTATCGCTGTCTGTGGAGCAGGCCGACGCGCTACTGCGAACTACCTCCCATGTACTGGATGAAATCCTGAGGGATCCCAAGCAACCGCTTCGGGACCTTGAGGTGATTAGCCCCCAGTGTAAAGAGCAACTCGTAAAGTGGAACGCTGCCATGCCTGCCCCGACCGATGAATACATCCATGAGAAGATTCAGGACCAATGCCGTCTCCACTCTTCCCGAGAAGCCGCTTGCGCCTGGGACGGCATATTTACGTTCGCTGAAGTTGACGACCTATCGTCACGTCTGGCAGCACGGCTTATTAGGATGGGGGTTACCTCCGGTCACATCATACCAATCTACTCACCCAAATCCCGATGGACGGTCATCGCCATTCTAGGAGTCCTAAAAACTGGGGCTGCCTTCACACTTCTAGAAACATCGCATCCGACGGCTCGACTGCGCGTTATATGCAATGAGATCAAGGCTGATATAATAATCGCGCCAGCATCGCATGCCGTCCCAGCGGCAACTTTGGCTCCTATCCTAGTCGTGCTCGACAGCATCACGTCGATGAGCCCCCAAGAATCAGATCTCTTACCAGCTGTGGGTATGCCACCGGCTGCAGAAGCTCTCGCCTATCTCATCTTCACTTCAGGCTCCACAGGAAACCCCAAGGGGGTTATGGTCACTCATCAGAATTTGTGCAGTAATGCGTCTATAATGACAACATCTGTCAATATGACATCCGACAGCAGGGTGCTACATTTTGCATCCCATGCATTCGATGCGTGTCTTTGGGAAATATTTGGTGCCCTATTTGCCGGTGCTTGTCTGATCATCCCGTCCGAGTCAGAGACCAAGGAAGATCTGGCTGGTTGTATCGAGCGCATGGTCGTCACTTGGGCATTTCTGACCCCTTCCGTCGCAAGGATCTTAAAGCCAGAGGCCCTTCCCAGTCTCCGTAATTTAGTCCTGGGAGGCGAGCCGATAGCGGCCTCGGATTTAGATATGTGGCGGGGTCACGTACAGGTTGTGTGTGCCTATGGACCAACCGAAACCGCCATCCTCGCCAGTACGACCTCACCCTCTACCTTTCCCAGCGATGGCAAGGATATCGGCGTGCCAACTGGTAGCTCCCTTTGGATTGTTGACAAGCAAAATTACAACAAGCTGGCACCTCATGGAGCCACAGGCGAGCTGCTGATTGAGGGCCCCAATGTGAGCCAAGGATATCTTGGGGATCCAGAGAAAACCAATGAAGCCTTCCCAGTCGCTCCACGCTGGCTGTCACAGCTCCGAAAGTCGCCTACCAGGGTCTACCGAACTGGTGACTTGGTTCGCTTCAACACATCTACGGGCACCATTCACTTCGTTGGACGCAAGGATAACCAGATCAAGTTCCACGGACAGCGCATCGAGCTCGGTGACATCGAACATCATGCTCAGCAGGCCTTTTCGAATGCCAGCATGGTCATCGTCGATTTGATTACCCCTGAACAGCCTCAACAACCATATATTGTTGCTTTCGTACATCAAGCAGATACAAGGACTGGAACGGCCGACCCAATTGACACCATCTTGCTTCCTCCCTCCGAATCCTTCCGAGCAGACGCAATAGGAGCGCAGAACCACATGCACAAACGACTCCCGCACTACATGGTCCCAACAGCTTTCCTCCCTTTGCATCGGCTTCCTCTATCAGGCACTGGCAAAGCCGATCGCAAGCGCCTCCGACAATGTGCACTCTCTCTGTCCAGCCTTGAGCTCAATGCATATCGCGCCACAGCCTCCGCGAAGCGTATGCCTTTCACCGCAGCGGAGTGCAAAATGCAGGAATTGGTTGCAACTGTTCTGGGAAGGGACATGTCCGAGATTGGCATGGATGACAGCTTTTTCTATCTGGGAGGTGACTCCATACAAGCAATGCGCCTGGTTTCTGAGGGTCGTCAACAAGGCCTTACCCTCTCCCTTCAAGCAATCTTTGACGCTCCCCGTCTGGGTGACCTTGCTTATCGGACAGCCAACCTGGTCAGAGTGAGCGAGCCAGCCCCGCCCACATTGCCAGCCACCTCAAGTGATGATTGCGACCATAAAGAGACAATAGTTGCAGCTCTGCCCATCAAGAAGACTGACGTGGCCGAAGTCCTTCCCACAACCTCTTTTCAGCGCACCTGGCTAGACTCACAGCTGAAGAGCTACATTGTCGTCGACATCCCAGGCCCGATCGATCTTGCACGTCTCCGTACGGCCATACAGCGGGTCGTGAAGGCGCACCCTATTCTCCGAGCGTCCTTCGTGCCTTATGAAACCACAACCATGCAAGTTATCCTCCGCACAGCAGTGGTCATCACAAAGGCCGACCTGTCCACCACTACCGTGGAAGGCATTTGCCGCAAGGATGCAAATGCCCCAATGGCCCCTGGAACGCCGTATCTGCGCGTCATCCTAGCAACTCAAGGAGAAGTAGATCGTAAACTGATCATGCGACTTTCTCACGCCCAATACGATGGTATCTCACTCTCCCTACTCATGAATGATCTGAGTCACGCATACGCAAGCGAGTCTCGTCCATTACCTTCATCCCACTTGCCCGCGTTCAACGACTATATTACCTATCAGCAAACTCAGGGAGCCGACCCCACAGCGACCACATTCTGGCATCGTCTCCTCAAAGACGTGCCAATTACCTACCTTGATCTCCAACCAGCCGAGACCCCAACCAGCAATGGATCCCTCATTACACGTACCCGCGACATTAATATTGCTGCCTTCCCATCACTCCCTAACGGTATCACCACAGCCACAGCTGTCAAGGCAGCCTGGTCGCTGGTCCTAGCCCAGAAGACTGGTTCCCTTGCCGTTATATTTGGCCAGGTTGTCCATGGTCGGGGAATTGCGCTTACCGGGGTTGAGGGTATTGTCGGTCCTTGTGCTAATATTACGCCCGTCGTTGCACGCCTGGGTCCTCAAACTACAAGAATGGAGTTAATGCAAACGTTGCAAGACCAACACCGCTCTGCTATGCCATATGAGACGGTAAGTCTGGATGACGCGCTGGCTTATACTAAGGACTCGCAGGCCGGGCGTAAAGAGTTGCAAACAATCGTGCAGCATCAGAATAATGTGATGGCTGACGATATGGAACTGTCGCTTGGAGAGGCAAGGTGTCGGGTCGATCTGAGGGCAGTGGATCATGTGCCACAAGAGGTATGGGTATATTCGTCTATCGATGGGGGAAGACCGGGTATGTTGGAGGTGAAGATCATGTCGTCGACGTTGGTGTTGAGTGAGGAGGTTGCGGAAGAGTTGATGGATTTGCTTGTAGAGATGATGAAGAGGTTGTTTAGCGATCCTGAGGGTGTGTGTGTTTGACTGAGCTTTGTCATGGAGTGACGGTAGAGCTTGGACTGTTGTATATAGTTTCTTGAATTGACATGAAGAGAGGATTACCTCGACTTCCACCTTCGGCAACGTTGAAGATTTACTTCCCACCATTCCACTGAATATATACTACACACCCTTCTAAACACGACCTAACATCATCACCAACTCTCCACGGAACCCACACAACACACGAAATTAAACCCTCCTCACAAGAAACTGCATCTTAAACGTCGTCTCCCCATTATGCGCCACCTTCGTAATCCCCTTCCACTCCTCGCCCGTAACATCGACCTTCCACTCCGTTCCCGTCTCCCTCCCCACCTGCTCCCACAACCTCCTCCACGAATCCAAATCATGGCGCCAAATGTTCGAGCCCAATTCTTTGGCCTCCAACTCCCCGGCATTATAATCACCCACATGGCGACCAACCACAATAGACCCGGGCTTGGGCTTCATCAGCTTCATGACCTGCTTAGCCAGCTTTACCTGGGTATCCCAGTCGAAGAGGTGGAAAAATGAGGCCGCGTTGATCATGTCTACCTTCTCCCCAAGACGCTGGAATAGTTCACTGCTGTCGTCGAAGATGTCGCTGGTGATGAATTCGCATGAGAGAGTGTCGCGGTCCGCGAAGAGCTCGTATCCCAAGTCGATGAATTTGGAGTAGAGGTCTGAGCCATAGATTTGGGATTGAGGGGCTCCTTGGTGGACCTGCTTGGATCAGTATCTGTCCTGGGGTTGTTGGCTGTGGGGGGGAAGTACAAGGTGTCTGATGTCTTGGCCCATGGCGCAGCCTAAGTCCAGGTAGATGTCGGAGGTGTCCTTCAAGCGGGACAGGATTTCAGAGTATGCAGATGAGTTGCAGATGGATATGTCGAGGAACCGGAAAGATCCGATACATGGATAGGGGAACTTGTCTGATCAGTAAAGGATGGTCACTAGTTTGCGGGGAGTATAGACTTACTACGGCGAATGCGCGATCTCGCTGTTGCACCCAGCGTTATTCAGTATACGTTTGATTGTATCAAGGGCATACTCTTACCACTTGTTTGACGTGATCAATGATCTTCTCCTCCGGAATCTTGCTGTATTCGGCAAGAATGGTACGTGCAGGCTCCTTGACCTGCGCCAACTCGGGCTCATACCAGCTGAGCTGGCGGTTGATGCCATCCTGCGGAGTTTCCGTACTTGTGGTTGGTTCGCTCATGGTAATTTGCTGTAAATAGAAGATGGAAAGGGATCAAATCTACACTCGGGATTTCGGTCGGTGTCTCGGGGAAGGAGATGAAGAGGACAAAAAGACTGACTGTGTGGCGTCATCCCACTGTGTGGGGCTGCCGCCATCGGACGTCCGATGCCTTCGGACTTAAGAAATAAAGTCAATACGGCATAACGGAGGGAAGGATATCCTGATAATGTATTGGTTTTAAGAACCTATGTGTTGCCATACAAAGACCTATCACAACAAATCGGACATTTATTCTACATAAGCATGAGCGACAGGGACAGCGCCACACAGCCGACAGGGCCGAAACAAGCTTTCGCCAACCCTTGAGAACTTGGGATGCGGCCGACTGACCCACTGCTGTCCAACGGTGTCCAGAAGTTCCCTCCAGGTACAAATAAGATAGCATATCGAGATTTGCTTCGAATGTCTGCTCCACTACTTCCATCTAGAGACGGGTCCCTCTTTATACTGCGACCGTGCGTTTCTGCACTATCTTGACTAGGGAAGTTGGACCCTTACCTCGACTTTAGCCGAGATGGCTAAGGCAGAAGGTACAACGCCCACCGTTTCTGAAGCACTACGATCCTTCGTTCCTCCTTAGTATCTCCAGTATCCAATGCTCAGACCGTCTCTCGGCATTTTAGCTGATGACCGGCATATGTTATCTCCCGCCTCTGCACCGAATCCTTAGGATGCGGGCATCCCCGCTTATCGGAGTAGCGGCCGGCGGAGCTTTCCGCTTAGCCGAGCAGAGCTGAATACCTGCGCGAATTCCACCTACATTTGTTCAAACAGAACAATTCCATTAACAGCTATAACAAGAGTAATACTATTTAAATCTATTTAATCCATATATCGACTTCTATTATGCCATAAAACAAGCATCAATGACCGACCTACAGCCCTCCGGAGCCCTCCGAAGGCCAGGAAGGATCGAGGGTATCAAAGGATCTGCATAAGCACCATCTGGCCGCCATTCCGGATTCAGCAACGGTCTCGGGGCCATCCATCCATCTGCATATAAATGTCCCCGATCTCGCCTTGACGATCCTTTCAATTTTTCGCACACACCTCTCCATGCAACAATGGTCCGCATATGGCCCAAATCTGCCCATGACCAGCCATCGGACCTGGAAAAAGCGCCTCCTTCGCGCGACCCCGAATACCAGGTGAAATGGGACCCTGACGATCCCTTGAATCCGCAAAACTGGCCAGTGCGGTACAAATGGTGGGTGACGGTGCAGTTGGGCATGCTCGCCCTGGCCGGTAGTTTGGGCTCCAGCATCACCACTTCTGCCGATGACACCATCGCCGAGTATATTGGCGTCAGTAGCGAGGTCGCTGTTCTCGATGTCTCTCTTTACATGTTAGTGTTTCCGTAGCGATCTTGTAAAATATCGACACTGACCAATCCCAGTCTCGGCTTCGTCCTCGGCCCCATCATCTGGGCTCCCCTCTCCGAAGTCTGGGGTCGGCGCGTCAGCATGCTCCCAGCCCTCTTCTGCCTGGCCCTCTTCGACATCGGCACCGCGACCAGTCGCAACGCCCCTGCCGTCTTCCTGACGCGCTTCTTCGCCGGTTTCTTTGGCTCCGCGCCCATCAGCAACGTCACCGCTGCCCTCGGCGACATGTGGAGCAAAGAAACACGAGGCACAGCTGTCAGCATCTACGCGATCGCCGTAAATGGCGGTCCAGACCTGGGCCCCATCATCGGCGCGGCCATCATGGCGAACTCACATCTCGGCTGGCGCTGGACCGCATACATCCACGCGATCTGGGTCTTCGCGACCTTTATCATGGCCTTTTTCTTCCTCCCGGAACTCTACCCGCTCGTGCTGCTGAAACGCAAAGCGCAAAACCTCCGCAAATCCACCAACGACAGCCGATACTGGCACCCCCATGAACACCTGCACCTGTCTGTCCAATCTATCGTCACGAAACAGCTTGCTCGCCCGCTTCGCATGCTCTGCACTGAACCTATCGTCACTTGCATCGCCTTTTACGCCGCCTTCGTCTACGCAGTCATGTACCTCACCCTCGAAGTCTTCCCTATCGCCTTCGAAGAACTTCGCGGCTGGTCCCCTGTCGTCGGGGCGCTGCCCTTCCTCGCTCTCCTGATCGGTGTCATTCTATCCACCGGAATCAACATCTACAACCAGTTCCGCTATAACCGCATCTCCGCGGCCGCGAACGGCGCTCCCGTCCCTGAGGCCAGGTTACCGCCCATGATGTTTGGCGGTGTTATTCTTGTCCTGGGGCTATTCTGGTTCGCCTGGACAGCTACCCCCGCTTATCACTGGATCTTGCCGTGCTTGGCAGCGTTCTGTATTGGAGCAGGGTTCAATTGTATTTTCCAGCAATGTTTGAATTTCCTGATTGACGTGTATCGCGTGTATGCAGCTAGTTCAACGGCGGCTGTTACGTTCCTGAGAAGTATCATGGCGGCGGGGTTGCCGTTGGCGGCGAAGCCGATGATCAGGGCGTTGGGGATTGGGCCGGCGATCTCGATTATTGGCGCTGTGGCGGCGGTGTTGTTGCCCGTGCCGTTTTTGTTTGTGAGGTATGGGCCGGCGTTGAGGAGGGCGTCGAAAATGATTGATGGGTGACACACTATTCATATATGATATGTATACATACACCATAAACTACTTAGCCATTATTTACCTCAAAATAGAGATGCAAAAACCTGATGAATAAAGAGGACTATATCCTCGCCTCCAACACCCCCATCTCCATCCCCTCATTCTCACTCCCCACCCAACAATTCACCAGTCTCAGTCCAGCCCTCCCAAGTAACTCCGCATACTCCTTCTCCGTCCTCTCCGCCCCCGCAAAACTGACCATCATACTGAGATCCCCAATCGCAGCCATCAACCCGCCCCCCGTCTCCGGAATCACCTTCTCCACAACCAACAACACCGACTCCTCATCCATCGCCTCCCGTACTCTACTTAGAATCTTCACCACCTCCTTATCAGGCCAATCATGCAACACAGTGCGGAGCATGTACCCCTTGGCTCCCTTGACAGGCTGCTCCGTGAAGAAGTCATACCCTTGACTCTCTATTACCCCATCAGGTAGCTCCGCATCAGCGACAACATGCGGCAGGTCCTGCAGAATCAGTCGTCCGGGGAGGTCCGGGAACGCGGAGCGGAACGCGAGGAGGTCTTGGCCCTGGCTGCCACCGATATCTACCATGAGTATTGAGGAAGGGGTGGGGTTGTCGATGTGGAGTTTGTCGGTTACCGGGAAAAGCTTGAACCATGGTTGACCTGCGCGACGGATTGGGGACTTCATGACCGTGTTGAAGGAGGATTGGTAGTAGGGCTTTGTGGACAGGTAGTCGAAGTAGGGGGAGGATGTGCCGGCGGCGAATTGGAAGGGCGTGTTGGTTAGGTCGTTGGGGTTGGTCCAGTTGTTTTTGGCGAAGTATTCTGGGAGTTGGGTGAGGAAGGTGTGGAAGTGGGTGCTGGGGTGGTGTTAATTATTTGGGAACGAGGTGTCTTGGGGAGATGGGGGAATACGGACAAGTGGATGATGGCTGCTGCGAGTGGAAAGGTTGAGATGTAGGATGAGGAGAGGGGAGTAGGGGTGAAAGTGTCAGCGGTGTGTTGTTTGAGGGTTCCCATGGCGGAGAGGAAGCGCATGATTCGGCCTGGATGTTTGGTTAGGTTGTGGCTTTGATTGAGAGGAATGAATAGACTGACCGACAAGGATTGGGTCTGCTTTTGTGTCGGTAGCTATCTGGTTTACAGTGACTTTGCCTGTCTCACTCTGGGATGAGTGGTGGATGACGGCGTCGAAGAGCTTGAGGTCGATGGCTAGACGAAGAACCATGGTCTGGTGTTCCTGTTCTCTTATTAGTATCGAGCAGTGCATAATGAGAAATTGAACATACTGTGAATAGTAGCCTGAACATTGTTTCCAGAGAAGATTCGCACATCGCCTTCAATCTGTCGCATGCAGACGACAGCTCCGCACGCTGCTGCTCATCTATACTGTTCAGTTCGCCACTCGAAGTGACGGCGTTGATGGACTTGATGAGATCGGAGACGCTCATTTTGCAGATCTTCTGAATACGAATACAGTAATAAGCGGGAAAACACCTGATAACGTTCTGATGTCCCTCTGGTTTGAGGATGCGCGTCATCAGAGCTTTATATACGAGCAAGCTCGGTAGATCGGTGTCCGCCCCCGAGCTAATTTCCCGACCCCGACCCCGCGCCCGATCTTTATCCCCGGGCGTGCACCGAGGCCGATTTCCCCAGTAGCTGACTGCTTCTCTCGAACATGCAATAACAAGCGTGGGATTCTTGGACCAACGGGGTTAACGAAGTCGTGATTGTGCAGCAGGCAATTGGCGCGTCGAGTTACAACCTGTTTCAAGGCCTGAGGCAGTCATAGAGAGACTACGGAGATGAGGTCACGGTCGGCTTATCACATATTCCAACTTGTTCTATACCACCCATCTAAACTATATATCTCTTCTATCATTCCGCCCAACCCAACATCCCCAGACCACTCATACCTATCTCCATCATATTTATAAACCCAACCTACTACGTATGTTCACCAAAAGGGTTAAACCGCGCATTCAAGGCATGGCATCCATGCTTGCACAGCAATAGATAACGTCCACGAAGGAAGTCGCATCACACTCAAGCCGAAATAGCCGTGGCCCATTTACTCCGCTTCCGCAGTGACGGGCCCCAAAAGGTCAGTACGTAAGGAATAGGCGCAGCTACCGCACTGATAATCCCAAGAACAGTGAGCGTCCAATGAGTGCCAAGATTCCGATACATCGGGATCCCGACCACCGTCATCCCGCCTGCAGCGAGGTATCGAACCAATGCAACAAAGGTCAGTGCCGACGCTGCATATTGTTGATAGGAGTCGATGATGTACATGTAGGCCGAAAGGAAGATACAAATGACGCCGAAACCGACAGCGATCGAGGCGGCTAGTGGGGACCAAATCGCGATAGAAGGCTAGTATTATTAGCATCTTGCAGTGAACACATTCATAAAGGGTGATGAAAAAAGGTAATCGTACATAGTCAGTCCATCCCATCCAGAAAAGACCGATCGGGATGGCTGGGGCTCCGATTTGGGCGAAGAAGAGTCGCGACTCTCTGTCCACCATGCGACCGGAGCCATCATCGCCAGCGTCTCGCAACTGCTTGGCTGTTTTGCGATAAAGGATAGGGACGAGGACCATGCTGATGAGGATTCCAATGAAAAGTCCCAGAAAGCAAATGTTGGCGAGGCCTTCGTTGATGCCGTAGGTGTCGGCGAAGATGTAGACGTATCTGAGCGAGTTAGTGGAGCCCGTGGATAGCAATGCAAACGGTTGATCAGGTGCATACCCGTCCAGGAACGTAAATAGGACAATGTAGACAATGGTCAAGTAAAATGTGAAGAAGATCACGATTGGCTCCATAAGAAGTAGCCAAGGACGAGTAAAGTTCCTCTTCAGTACCGGCAGCAGGCTTCCCGACCCCGAGGCCTCGCCGGCTGTCTTGAATCGCGCGTCCCCGGTCGCTTCGCGGAAAAACTTGGCTTTGTAGTACAAGAGTTGCGGTGCAAAGGTTTCGCGTTTGAAGAGGAAAATTATGGCTATCACCAGGCCATCAAAGATGAGCATGATCCATTCGGACCATCTCCAGCTGATGCGGGGACTGTATCCGATGTATGCTCCCACAACGGGTCCTGATCGGTCCGATGGTCAGTTTGACTCGACACCCTCAATTTCCGGCGGTGTGGAGTGGATGCTGTGCGATACACTATACGATACTCACCAAGGATGGGTCCGCCAAAACCCGGAATGGCAAAGATAGGGAACCCGAACGTTTTCTCCAGGGTACTCCATACGTCGGATATCGAACCACCTGCAACAGTCAGGGGCGCAGAACCACAGAGTCCTGCCAGAAAGCGAAAGACCAACTGGGACCCGAAATTCGGAGCCAACGCAGCACCTAGAATCCAAGATCCGAAGATCACCAAAGCGCCGATGTAGACGGGAAATCGGCCAACAATTTCAGACATCGGACTGGCAATAAGCGCACCGACTCCGAAGCCGATAAGGTACAGACCAGTTGCGAGTGACTCGGCGACTTGGGATACTCCGAAGTGCTGGGAGGCTTCGGACAGAACGGCGGAATCGATGGCCGATGCCATGGTGGTCACCAAGGCGATCAGGCAGACACACATGGTGGAGGCGACTCGGCGGGCATGCGACCATTGCTGCGGGTTGAAGGGATCGTGGGGAGTTGCCCAGGACACCTCATAATACTTTTCACCGTTACAATCCGATTTCAAGGAAATTCCAGGGATTTGAGAGGGATCTCTGATCTTACTCGGTGGATGTTCAAGAGGCTGCGGCGATGCGAGTTCGGAGGAGGATGACTCGTGCTGGGCGCGACTGGCGTCATCGACCAGCTCGTTCACGTATCGTCGCAAGCCTCGATATTGGTATATAAACGCCATGTTTCTGGTGTTGGCGGAGGTTGGAGGTCGTGTATGGCGACAAACACGGAGAGCAGTTGAATATAAGGTGGAAAAAATTCTAGGATAGACGCGTTCGTCGGAGTGGAGTGGATTTATAATCCAGAGCAGGCTAGATAAGTACCATAGTAGGTCAAGTTGGCAGCGGCCACTGAGAATTTGAGAAGAAGCCAATCCCACTTTTCCCGGCCGAAAGCAGAAGATCTGCACGGCGGGCGATTCCGCCCTTTTCGGGCCCTGATGAACTGCTCGGGTTAATTTACTCCGCGCACTTCCTGATTTGGAAGGATGGCCCGGGAGCTTACAATCAGGTGCTGTTGTTGTTCTTACTGGGGCTCGGAGACTTGCTACTTAAGTTACTTCGTATTTCCTACTACGTGTGAAAAGTATGTATAATGACTACAATATTCCATCTGCTACGTGTATGGTAAGACACGTCAGGGTAAGGATTTGCCGATTGATTCAGATCATCATAATACTCAGACAACTCATTCAGATGTTGCTGGTCCATACCCCGCGCAGGGCCCCGTGACGACCTGCTGGTAGAATGCCTTCAACGACCTGACCTTTGGGAAGTCTGGGAACAGCTTCCAGAAGTCGAGGTACCCGAGATAGTCTGCAAACTCCGGGGTATTATCACCTCGAATACACCATGATATGCGGTATTGGCCCATGTTGTAATTGGCAACGTCCATGATATCGACTTTAGCGCCATGCTCATGCCACCTCTTCCCACACGATTCAATAATCTCCCTGAGGTCTTCCTCTGACACCTGTTGGATCAAGTCAACGCGTCACTCATAGGAGCCATGGGTTAATGCGATCCCAGACCGAATTTTTCCACTTACATAGTCTCTCGGAGGTATCTCCCCGCTGACCGTTGCCATCGTATCCCAAATCTCGTTCGTACTCAGAACCTCGGTATACGCAAACACACGCCGATTCAACGTCCGCGCATCTGATATAATCTGCGCGACATACTTCCCAATATCCCCCATATCCGTCAACCCAAACTTCTGATTGCCATCGCCAACGATCCGATGGTCAATGTAAATCGAATGGGCGTGGTCCGACCGACCGGAGGAAATCTTGGGTACCCAAACCTGGAACCAACATCCGACGTCGATGAGAGTGTATGGAAGGCCCACGCGTTGAATAACGCCCAGGATGTCAAGCTTCTTGTCTTTGATGTCGATGATGCCTCTGGGTGCCGGTCCAACCCATTCCGATGGCACGAACCGCTTTACCCCTGCTTCTTTGGCGGCTTCGATCCATGGATTCTGAGATTCAAGATGTTCCCAGGTAATGCATGAGATTAGGACATCGATTTTCTTTAGTTGATGTACTAGGACCTCCCGGGGACCGTTCAGGTCGTAGCCGACAATCTGGACACCTTTTGCTTGGAGGGTTTCGTTGGCTTGGCTGTTGACTGACGCCTCACGGGTAAATGATGTGACAGTCTGCTAGACTCATCAGTTAAGATCATAAATATCGAGTATGCGACTCGGATGTCATACGAATTTTGTCGGTGAGGAAAGTAGGCCATCTACCACAGACCGGCCTGTTTTACCCGTTGCACCTATCACGCCCACGGTGATAGGAGTACCCATGCCTGTCGTGAATTTTACAACTCTGTATAAACGGTTACAAGATGGAAATCATTTCAACAGAGAGAGAGACGGTTTGATTAAAGAGTGTACACGTGATCGTCGGACGAAAAGAACTGTAGAATATAGACGGAAGTTTGATCACTTCGGCCCAACACTGTGTTGGCCGCGGCTTCGTCCGAGCCCGAGCTGTGGATCGGGATTCGTCCGAGCTGCCCCACATCCCACATGAGATGAGATATTGACTGTTCTGAGATCACTTTATGATTCGCGGTATGTTAGCATTATTTCCAGATAGAACATATATTGGGAATACACTCATTTTGGTTGCCTTTTTCTGACGTTGTCGTCATCGAGTCTCTATTTTCGGTACACACCTGTCGATGTACACCCAAATATCAAACCTACACATACTTCCCACATATCTTGGTAATATATCTCTTTCTTGAACCACATGACTTACCATACTTTTCCCCATCGCATATGAAGATTTAAGATTCTCAAATTAACAAAGGCTTGAGAAATAGTCTTTAGAACTCCATCATTAACTGACCAACAGGCATCTTTGCAAGGCACAAAGGCTGGGTAATGGACATCATTGCCCGAAATCAAGCGTCCAGCAGGTCTGGAAAGAAATTGCCGTAAATATTATATCAGATGGAAGTGTATCAATTCTCAGCTTGTATTGTTAGCCTGTTAGGGCAGATTCGTTGATCAATTGTATATACAGTATATATGAAATCGAGCTAGTTCGCTCTTCAATCCTCCCACGCAAGGTAGCTCACTCCAGCTCTATGCATAATTGAGTCTCCCCAAGCCTGTATATGACAGTGAAACCCAGTTTGTGTTACCAGAGAGACACTCGCTCGGCTGTTTAGACATTTTCCACTGTCGTAGTCAAAGGTATGGAAGCCGAGCACCACTCTGGGTACCTTGAGAAAAGGCTTGTCAAATGTGACCTCGAAAGAGTTGTTCTGCTGAGGCTTCCACCAGGGTCTGGTATCTGTGGCAGCTACGCCGCCACTGGCGACATTTGACCGATCGGCAGGGTGAGCCACCCAAACTACATTAGCCTCGTAGAGTGTGCTGTTATGCCATGCCTCGGCGCTCACTTTGAATCCTTTCGCAGTAATTCTGGTAGGAGAGGCTCTGAAACGCCAGTTATTTTCTCCATCCAGGTCTAGGGACTTGATAAGGCATACCACCCTTGGTGGCTCACTAAAAGGTGTGGAGAATGTGATGGTCTTAGACTTCCCTTTTCCCTGTAAATCATGACAGTTGAATACACCGTGTTGAACAAATGGGAATCTTGATCCCATTTCGAACCAGTTCATACCCGCAGAGTACATAGGTGACTCAGACCATACTCTGATGCTTGCAGTGCCCTTTTTCTGGTCATGTTCGACTATGTTTGCATCAAGCCGGATACGGTTGTGCGGCCTGAAACTGACCCAGTTGATTCCAGTAATAATGTTCGAAGACTCCGACTGTGTCTGGTTGAAACACTGTTTTTTTTCATGGTGCTTCTGAATAGTTTCCACTTTTTCCGGTCGATCAATTTCCATCGTATTGAAGTTGCGGGCAAGGTTCCCTTGACTGGGGTAGTAGTAACGAATATATTCTTTGTCGTGCTCTGATAGATCAAGATTAAAAATTGTTCTTCCTTCATTCCAGGTCCAGGTAGACGGGTAGTAATTCCGCATTATAGACGAAGGGTCAATTTGGGTTCCTTGTACTGTCTTGAGGAGAAACCTGGCAAAGTAACATCTATCCACTTGCGATCGATCCCAACAAGTTGGCGGACCCCCTAGATCCCTATATATTTGGTCCGTGTTCCAAGGGAATAGCGCTTGTGGCTTCTCATCCTCATGAACACGTCCTAACACATGCCCGAACTGGTGCAGAATATCAGCGCGAAGTTCTGCCTGAGGCCTCCTGTCAATAATCCACGCCAAGTTTACCGACGGTCTTCCCTGGGAACTCCAATAGCCACAGTCCGTTCCAAGGTAAGACCACGTCCCTTTTGACGCATCAAAGTCAACCAGAACATCTGGGGGGAAAGATGCCATATCAGTAACGAAAGTGAAGCGGATGTTGGCATAAAGCGTCCAGTGCGTGGCATATTTCTTGACTTGATCCCGCTGCCATTCCGTTCCGGAAAGAAACCCGATTTTCAGCTCACGACCAGGCCTCCAGAGCTTGCTCGAAATCAAATCAAGGTCAAGGGGAGAATCACTGTCTTCAATCCTAAGTGGGACAGTTATTGAGCCATTCTCGGGATTCTCTTTTAGGGAATATTGGACTCTTTCGCTTTGGTCCTCAGCACCATTCTGGTAGTTGTAAAAGCAGACTCGGCTGAAGGCTGGCGCCATGGTATATGATAAAGACAATCTTGCCGTATTTTTTCCTTCTAGTAACTAAAATAGCAGAATGACTTACGCCTTTCCATCTTTTCAAGTCATAGGAGGAGGGGTGGTGTATCATAACCCATCATTCCTTCGGCCTTATCTTGATCCCTAGTACGGCAATCTCGAGGGACGTATTCTCTTCGCCGATTCGCTAAGGGAGACTAAGCTGAACGGAGAACAAATCCCTCAGTGGAGCCACGTAAAGCTTTGTCACTGGACATTTGACAAACTAATGCAGAATTTATGCAGTCACATCACAGGATCCGCAGGCCAGAACCCGAGGCAATTACCAGCCCACACAAGGCCTGCAATAATTATACACAGCAATAGATGCGTAGATATGGTAAAGGTAGCAGTACCCTACTAACTGCGAATACTCGGTTTCTGGCGAGTCTGTCGGAGGTTACTACTCGAGTGCACGACTGTTCACTTCTATCCCTTAGGGATATCCGGAAGCTACTCCCTGTCGGGCTCGAAAAAGTAAAGGTTGTATCTGGTGTGGTAATTGACTCACTTAAGTGGCTGGCTCACTGACGGACTGAAATCCTTCTGAGCCCCCAGCCCCTCATCATCCACACACCATGCCAATCCATTATCTGTCCTGCCGCTATACCCCTCCAAAAATATAAAGTAAAGATGATTATCTCTTAATCTACTCGAAATTTCTAAGTACAGCACACAATCTTCGCTCTGTTATCAAAAATGCGCCTTCTGTCCGCAAGGCGCTCCGCAACAGGGAATCTCAACATCGAACTCGAAGAATTTCCCGATGTACCATCTGAGCAGTACGCCATCCTCTCACACACATGGGAGAGGGAGGAGGTCAGCCTCAATGATTTAAACTCTGGCCTTGCTGAGAATAAACAAGGTTTTCAGAAGATAAAAAACTGCTGTGCCAAAGCATTAGATGATGGATTCAGATACACCTGGATCGACACCTGCTGTATCGATAAAACTAGCAGCGCTGAGCTATCCGAGGCGATTAACTCAATGTATCGATGGTATCAGGAATCTAGTATATGCTATGTATATCTTGCCGATGTTCAGTCGCGATGTGACATATCGAGTAGTCGGTGGTTTACAAGAGGATGGACGCTTCAGGAATTGATTGCCCCACCAAGAATGATATTCCTGAATAAAGATTGGAAAGAGTTTGGGACCAAAAGGAATATGCATGGTCTCCTATCCCAGATCACTGGCATTCCAAGTGACATTCTCACAGGCACTAAGGACCTTGAAAGTATCAGCATTGCGCAAAGAATGTCATGGGCTGCACGACGGGTTACAACCAGAGTTGAAGACCAAGCATACTCTCTTTTGGGGATTTTTGGTATTAACATGCCTTTAATTTACGGAGAAGAAAAGAGATCCTTTATTCGCCTTCAAGAGGAGATCTTGAGAGTGAATGACGACCAGAGCATTTTTGCTTGGAAATCTCCTGAAGAGTACCGCGGCGGGCTATTTGCAAGCTCCCCGCGTGCGTTCAAGGACTCAGCCAGCATTGTCCCACACAACGCTTTTACCACCTTGGACAAGCCAGTTACACAAAGCAATAAAGGGGTTCACTTGGAGCTTCGTCTAATTGGCAAGGCACCGGGACTGGCCCTAGCTATCCTTAACTGTATCGACCGTGCGAACAGCAATCTTCCGATTGCGATTTACCTCAGAGACTTGTTCATGACCATGGAGCGGTTTGAAAGGGTCAGGTGCACAGAACTTGCCTATGTGGATCTACGGGGATACAAATTCTCACAATATCCAATGAGAATGATTTGTGTCAAGCAACGCCGGCAGGCAGATCTAAAGCAAAAGACTGTGTCAGATGTTGAACCCGACTTCTCTGATATGAGGCCACTAGATGGCATACTGGATAGCCTGCCTGATGTCAAGATGAATTCGATGGATAAGAATCGAGAAATACTTGGTTCACTCACAGAAAGAGGAGATTTTGATGCGGTATGGCTGCTGCTGACTTGGAGTGATTTTGATCCAGAGCGAAAGGACTCTCAAGGGAAATCACTGTTATCACAAGCAGCAAAACATGGCCACGTTCCCATAGTGAAACTTTTACTAGCTCGAGGCAACGTTGAGTTTGATTCCTGTGACCAAGAAAATCGAACCCCTCTTTCCTTTGCTGCATCAGCTGGCCATGTCTCTGTCATCCAGATACTACTAGAGACCAATAAAGTGAGAATTGACTCAAGAGATAATCAAGGCCTAACTCCTCTGGCCTGGGCAGCCAAAAACGGCCATGAGAAAGCAGTCCAATCACTACTTGAAAATGGTGCCTACATTGAGTCAGAAGATGATTGGGGATGGACACCGTTGCTCTGTGCAGCCTGGTACGGGAGGTCAACGGTAGTCAGTTGCCTCTTAGCGGAAGGCGCTGATTCAGAAGCAAGAGACAACAATTGTGGCTGGACCCCATTGTTGTGTGGGGCCGTGAATGGTCACGATGATGTGGTGCAACAGCTTTTGGCCAAGAATGTCAATCTTGCGGCGGAAGATAAGGACTATGGCTGGACATCACTGTCTTGGGCAGCTGTAAATGGTCATTATGAAGTGGTACGGCAGTTGCTCGCAAAGGGTGCGAACATTAACACAAAGGACTCTCATCTGGGCCGTACACCATTGTCCTTGGCGGCGGGAAATGGCCATGACAAGATCGTACAACTTCTAGTAAGCAAGGACGCTGATATTGAGTCCAAGGATTGTTATTCTGGCCGGACACCACTTGCATGGGCAGCTGGGAATGGTCATCAAGCCGTAGTACAGCGGCTAATGGTGGCAGGTGCCGATACACAGTCTAAAGATGATCAATATCACCGGACACCGGCACAATGGGCCGCTTGCAACGGTCATGAGGCGGTGGCACGGCTATTCCCTCCTGCTCCCGTTCCAAAGCCTGAAGAATAGTATGTAAGCCCTTTGGGTGGTTCCCACAAATCGTCAGCCAATCGCAGTGTTTGTTCATCTTGAAATCCAATGGTACTTGCGCTATGTGAGTAGCTATGCATACTGCATCTTATAGAGATGACCCTCACACATAATCCGCACACAAGAAAGAAAATTATATCTCCTCATTAGAGAGAATGGTTGTATGGTAGGAATCCGTTTTGCAATGCTTTTTTGATACCATTTGCCCCCTACCCCCTTCTCCGCCAGTCCCAAAGTTGAGGATTATTTCGTTGCTAATGTTAATACTGCTTCATTAGGAAACTGTTAGCAGGAGAGTGTCTTCACAGTGAAACGTAGCTTTTGGAGGTAAGTGGAGGTGAGTCCGTGGGGCTCGGGACATCAATGTGTTTTGCTCACCCTATCATACAATAACAAATATGCCCTGGTTCCAGATATGCAATATTGCATACAGGCCACGGCCAGTAATACCTTCATGGTGTACCATGGCCCTCGCTATGTAACGGTAATGTGAACATTTACCTTGGAAGTATTTGACATTTCGGTCTATTGTATACTGCTGGATTTCCTGGACGTTGAAATGCTTTCTTGAATCCAACAGTAATGGTGTGAAATAGATGAATAAATAGCATGCCAGCGGCCATTCCAAAATCCGGCTTGTTGTTTGTCCCGTCACTGAAAGCGGCCTTGCGGGAAACTCTGGCTGATGTTTATCACTGGTAAGTAGTAACCAGGATTGCTGTCCTATGGTAGTAGTGTGCGACATATATATAGTATTGGCAGGTGGCTCCATACGAGTTAAGTGGTACTGGTGACCCTCAGACCGATACCAAAGAAATATGGAGCTAGCATTATAACAGCTCATCCCGCACCTGTTTGCTTTATATGTGGCCTATCTGTCCTCCCAACCCACTGGACCACGAACATCTAGAGTTCGCTGGGTACCATATCACACTAGCGAAGAGTCAACATGACTACTAGATTACTACTACTAACGTTACGGTACGGGAGAGACTCTTTTCCACCGCCCCGGTGGCAGAAAACCCACCTTTTACCGCTTCCCCTACGCCCAATGCGGCAGAACCCAGCGAACCTTGCTAAGAAAAGTGCGGATATATGCGGATATGCATTTTGTACAGCCCGGAAAACAGGAGTCAGCATTGTGTACACTTTCTTACCGCCTTCTTACTTGTCGCTGGAGATGGGCAGAATCTACTTTTTGTTGTACTAGCAGTTGAGTGTCTCTAAAGTCCATCTTACGTCGTCTACCTGTCTATCTATACGGTATATCGGGCATGGATAGGAGAATTATTTGATTTTTATCTACATCAACTATACTCTGGTCCCTCCCTTCTGTGAGTTTGAGATGGAACCGTCTAATCCGGGCTATTGTGTTGCTCTTCGGCCCCTTCAGTGACATCCATCACTCACCAGCCTAGTTTCTTGGCCTCCTCTCCGCTCACGTCGTCTGGGATATCCGTAACATACTGTAAAACATCTGGAATCTCTACCATCCACTCCGGCCGACGCTTAGTCCACACCTCTGCCACCGGCTTGGGAATATCATCAAAGAGACCAAACATTAAGACTGTTCTTGTTAATTTCACTCCCGGAACTCTTACAAAGGGGGGAGAGGATGGAGAGTGAACTGACGTGATTTCCCGGGCAAAACAGTCTCACTTTGGTACATGATCGGACTACAAAGAGATTAGCCAGATTCGAAACACAAGGCTCCCATTGCATGTACTGACCATCCACAGTTATAACAGAAGTATCGATCCAGTGGTCGGCCACAGGCGGTGTTGGTGTCGAGAAATTTCTTGGGACGACCGTTCAAGACCATGTCTTTGTTCTCCACCACGACGACATAGGTGCCGGCTAGAGGAATGTTACTTAGGCAATGTTGGGCTAGGAAGTAAACACGAAGAAGAGAGGAGGTGGTAAATACCGGCACCACTCTGCTTTCGACAATTGAGGCAGTAGCAGATCATCACGCCACCCCCAGACGGTGTGGGATTGTCCATGGTGATGCGGATGCGGCCGCAGTTACAAGAACCCTTGACAACCATGATGTGCCACGCTTGGTGAGATTCTGTGTAAGGGGGCAAAAGGGGTCAGAAGGAACTGTAGTAAAGAACAGTGGATATGAATTCCGGCTTGAAGTGCTTGAAGTCTGGAAGCTGGACCAAAAGAAGACTTGGGCCGGTTTTATCGTCGTCGGGCATACGGCGGTCTACCGGTGTTGGCAATGGCAAGGAGCGAGCATCATCTGGAACGCCCTATTTAACCAAGAAAACATACAGAATATCACCCTTGGCATTCTAGGGATTGAAGGTTTAACCTTGTTACAAATACCCGCTATACGTGAAGGAACTGAATAAAGAAAAACTAGGTGAAAGTTAATTTCTCTGGAATTTAAGAATATTAGACTTGGGGTAATGTATCTGATATAAATGATGGGAAAGTAGCGTGGTTCACTTTCTATGATTTATTCAGTATATTCTACACAGATAGTCAAATATAGAGCTCGCTGTACATTTAATCCCTGTTTGAAAGTTTATACAGAGAGCAATTGTATGACACAGAGAGAGTAATACTGAGGAACATAGAAGAAAATGTGCAGCTCATGCGGCATCCTTCACGCTGGGACTGTCTACCAGTATAGAGGCTTTTTTGATCTTCTTCCGGTTTTGTCGTTTCATTCAGGCTTTCACGGAAATCAAGATTTCTAGTACAAGGCAGGGTACACTTTCTGCAGAGTTGCTCCACTCATTAAGCAGCCGCATTAGGTTGAATTAGGTTACAGTGAATACGTATAACATTACTACTGAT